TCATGCCTCTTCCCACCTCATCTGCCACATTCTCCAGGAAGGGTTTGCCTCCCAGGTCTCCTCATCTATAGCTTTGTAATCGCATCTCACCTTGCCCCTCTGAACCGTAGGCCTAGGAATAGCCTCATCCAAGACCTCTACTTGTAGACGAGGGGTCTGATGCTCAGGGGGAGGCTGTCATCTGCTTGAGGATGACAAGATGCCTCCACCCCAGGCATCCTGCCTTTTGTCCCCTTGCAGTGACCCCCGAATTCATCCTGTCTCCAAATTACTCGAGTGGCCTTTAAAATGACAGAGATTCTTAGGCTGAGACTCAGAAGCTCTGGGTATTCCGTAGTTAGCCCACTTTGGGGAGGACCACAGTGTGTGTGTGGTGGCTGTTTGAGGTCCAGTTCTATTTGTCAAGGGCAGGGAGTTCTGACTTTCCTCTGTGTCCATTGGGACCCTTCATGGTGCCCGGTACCCCCAGAGGTATCTGACTGTGTTCGTAGAGGGAGTGAGCCCCAGCATACAGAGGCTGCTTGCCTGCTGGCTGGGCCTGCTGAAACAGCAGAAGATAAAGTCAAGATAGTTAATCTCTGTGTCCTGTGGTACCTTTGAGCTGAGCTCACCCATAATGAGAACAGCGGAATTTTTTTTTTAAAGAGCTGATTATTAAGCAGGAGGGTAGAGACAGTATCATAGTTAAATTTTCATTAATTTTATCAAGTAAGGCAAAGGTAGGGGTAAATGTTAAGTCCTGCTGTTAATAAATAGGGGTGGCAAATAGTCGGGTGGCTGGTGCAAAGAAATAACCTCTCAACTGCAGTCGACCCCGGCGAATAGAAATACACATGAGTTTTGCATAAATCTAAGTTTTACTGGCCAGGTTCCTTTTCTTTCTTTCTTTTTAGAAATAAAACTAAACTCATTCCTATTTTTGTTTTTAGGCTGTTGTCTCTTGTATATACTGACACTCAAGTAATAGATACTTACCCCTCCCCTGACATGAAATCATAGCCCATGCTCTTGCAGACTATTACCAGGGGCCCAAAAGAGAAAAGACTTTCCTGCTAACTGTAGTCAGTGTGACAAATATACTTACACTCATTAGAACCCCATCTTGAGGGTTCAAGCATCTTCATCTGAGATTTCCCAATGTGCATCAAAAATAAGTCACCTTATTCTAAAATTCTGAGAGTATGCAGCTGTTGGGGGACTTCATTTTTTTTTAAAGATTTATTTATTATTTAATTATACAAGAACCGGGGTACAGACCAGATGTGTGGGAGGGTGAGAGGATTCACCAGAGACAGTGGGGAACAGAACAGGCAGACTGACGAAATACGCTGCTGAGGGGAGCAATAGGCGCAGCAGGAGAGGTCTGCTGCGCCATGTGGGATTCTCGCCGGCCGGCCGGGATTGAATCGGCTCTGCAAAGGCTGTGGACAGCTTCACAGCACTGCGCTCAACTTCCTGTGCCACCAGGGGAGGCCCCGAGACTTTATTATTTTTAGTCTATGGAGTGCTGCTTAACTCTCACATGTAAACTTATTTGCAAATACCCATTATAAATCATCTGGTTCCTTAACTGTTCTAACATTTGGCATTAGCTTCCACTGGATTAGTGTTGGGAGGAGAATCGTGGAATACTGGTTATCACCCACGCTGGTTATCATCCGTGCTGATTATCATCCACATGGTTCTGTGTGTTTGTGGATGGGATTGGGGCAGGGGTTAGTCAACACCACCTCCCACCACCACCACCACCACCACTAAGCTGATGTTAAAGGGCTTGATGCTTTAGCAAGCCCGAGACAGGTCACTGCCCTGTGGGGTAGACTGTAAGGACTAGTTGCAGGTTCCTTCTCCACCCACAACCACCCTGTGAGGCTCGGCTGCCTTTAATGAAAGTGTGTGATCTGGGGGACTCACCAGGACAATAAGAACTCCAGGCTGTGTCGTCGCGCGTGGCGTAGTGGTGTGTTTGCTCTGGGAACCTCTGTATTTTTGTGGGGCCAGCATCACGCTTTTTAGGCATAACCACACAGTCCATTTTATTTCTGTGGCACTTGCAAATATGAGTTCAGGGTTCCAGCCTCATGCATCCAATCCACTAAAATCAATTGCTCACGATAGAAATCAAAGATCATGGAAAGAACCTTGGATTTAGATGTTTCCTTAGTTGCTATAAGTGGTCTCAAAGCCCCTAGATAAGTAGATCAGAACATGTGTGTAAATGAACTTGTCCCCCCAGTAAATGTGTCACTGGAAAATGATAAAAGTTTGTACTAATTCAGCACATTATTGAAGATCCATGAAGTTGAAAATAATCTAGTTAGCCTTCTTGAAACTGTTGAATATACTATTGATGAAGGCCCTCCCTGGCTGTGCACCTTGATCTTGATCTGGGTAGGAGACCCCTCCCTCCTAGGAAGTGTTTGGAAACATGGGGGTGGGGTGGGGAGGTCTTTTTAGACAGCTCAGTGCTGGGGACACTTCAGTAAGGGGCCTTGGGATGCTGAGTGTCCCCCAGTGCTGGGACTGCCTTGCACAGTGAACCCTGTGCTGCCTGGAATCCATTGTCCCCCCAGTGAGGAACGCTGGTGGTGATGACAAGTAGGCGACACAAACACCCACTGAGGCGCATGCCTGGCCTTGGCACTAACACACCGCTGGATCATGTGATTCCATTTCACGCGCGCTCCCTTCTCAGCCTCTGTATGAAGATGGTATCCCATGCATTCTCCATGAATGTACACGTATTCATTAACATTAATTTTATAATTTATGGAGGGCTTTGAGAATGGGGAAAATTCTGATGCATCCCTAGATCAGAACTCAGGGCAGTAGTATGAGCAATGGAGGCAGTGCCTGCCGCTCCCGTGGCTGGAGTTCCTGGGGCCAGCTCGATCCTGGCCTTGGGCACACCACCTGGGTTGAGGTTCATGGCCGCTGGGGATTTGGAGCATCTGGGAAGAGGTCTGTGGAAAGGCCAACCCCCCAACCCCCAAACTGGCCAGAGGGCTTAGCTGGAATAGCTGATGCTGGAGAAGGTCCTGCCTGGGGTGTGGCTGCAGGTCACACAGACACGCCCAGTGTCTCTGCTGGTTGAGTTCACTTTGCACACAGTCACTTCCCTCCCTCCAGCCTTATGAAAATAGTCACTTTCCAAGAGTGAACTTTGAGTCAAATGTGAACCTGCTTCAGAACCTTTGAAATAGTTCTTCTAGATTCCTACTGATCACTTGAAAAAACGGTTAAACGACATCCTTTCTATGTTGATTATTAGCTTTGGTTTCAGGAAGTGACATTTCTCACTGTCCTCAAATTTGGAAGTGCTCAAGACCAGAATTTAGTGTCCAAAATCTCCTGTGCACAGATTCTGATAGTTTATACTTGTCTAAAACAGGGTGATGGCCTTCAGTGGCCTTGGGTACAACAGGTTACTTGGTGGTTCCGTTTCTGAGTCAGTAAACACTAGAGGGAAAAAGCCCATGAAGGGCCTACATTTACCCCCCGCCCCCAACTTCACTTTGTCACTGGGGGCTTGTGAGCAGCACTTGGAGCTGTGCTCATTGCTGGAATATTTGGTTTTATGTCTACTTTTCCCGTTTCTAGTCTCTGCTCTTGGATCCATAACTGAGAAACGTAATTGTTTTATTTTATGTTTCTCAAGAGTCATTTTGACATCCAAGAAAAATTATTGTCATCAGGAAAAGAAACTTAGTTTTTTATATTTTCATGCAATTGAAGAGCTTAAAATATGCCTTATTGTTCTGAGTCAATGCCGCTTCTTTCATTTGTGGGCTTGAGGTTGGAGGGGAAGGTTTTTTTTTAATCTGGAAAAGAAGACTCATTTCATCCTCCCAGTAATCAGCCAGAGCGTCCAGAGAGACTGCACGGATATAAAGTATCTTAGTCACCACGGCCTCGAGTGTCAGGGGGGAAATGACTTGTGGGGGGGGATGACTCCTGTTCCCGAAGAGAGGACTCACAGGGAGCTGACAGTGACTGTCCCGGAGGCGCCGACACTGTCAGCTGAGCCTTCACCAGTTCCCCCTGTGCCCCATGGCATTAGGGCTGTGTTGGGAAGGACTGAGGATCGCATCACCCCAGCTGTCTGCATCTTTATCTCACTTGAAAAATGGGAAGCCCGAGCATGTCTCAGCATGACGCAGGATGGTCTGGGTGATTTTCCTCCAGGACAGTGACAAACTAGCCAGATTTGTGTGTTCTTCATATACTAGGAAATCTGGGCTTTGTTCAAGTGATAAATTTGAAAACTCCTTGGAATGCGTTTTTTAAGCAAACTATTAAATGGCACCATGTTCAGGCCCTCCTGTCGCCACCACCTCTCCCCCTCCTGGTAATGCTTCCACCTTTGCATTTCACTCTCACCTTTCGTCCAGGTAGACCACGTGTCACACTGATAGGCTGTGTGCCATTTGGCTTGTCATGGTTTCAATTTTGGAAGCAATTTTGTTAAGTTTCTACTGTCTTCATAACAACTATTTCTAATGCTTTACGTACCCTGAGCCTTAGTCACGTAACATTTCTCTCCTCCCTGTTAGATGGTTTCCATGGGGTGCTGTGAACATTTGGGGTATAGAGTCTTGGCTTCCTTTCAACTGCTGCCTCAGTCTGAATTCTGAGGAGGCGCCCACCCCACCCACCATTGTGAGGGTCAAGAGGTCGTGTATGGAACTTCGTCCGTGGGTGTCAGTATTTCCTAGAAATGCAGCTTAGACCTAAGTGAGTGTGCTCTGTTAGGGCAGAGGGCACACCTTGGAATCCAGGCTGCACAACCTGAGACTCACCGGCTTTCTCAAAGCCTATGCATCTGCACGCGTGTGCACATGTGCACACATGTGCATGTGTGTGGCAGCTAGCATAAGAATGGGTCCCAGGGGAGCACACCCCTGCCATCTTGCTAAGTCGCCTTGCATTTACGTGGATGGCTAAGGAGATTATGAAGAGGAAGAAATTCAGCTAAGCGTGATTGTTTCCCTGTTTTCTAGATCAATGTCCGAGTCACCACCATGGATGCGGAGCTGGAGTTCGCCATCCAGCCGAATACGACGGGAAAGCAGCTTTTCGATCAGGTTGGTCTCCGAATTTACGAGGGAAGATTCTCATTTAGGAAAACATTTTTGCAACATCTAAAATACTTGGTTTGCTAAGCCTGCTCCTGGCTTGCTGCTGGCCTTTCCGCGGATCACACTGTTTTCCCCACTTGCGGGGGCACCGCACCCCTGTGAACGTGTCCAGGCATCCCTGCTCACAGCCCGGGAGAGGACATCAGGGCCTGCAGCATCCTCAGCAGCAGGGGGCTGCATCCAGAGGCTGGGCTGCTGCTCCCCCATCTCCATGGTCCCCGGCTGGTTCTTGTGGGCGGCTTGGCAACTGGACAGCTGTGTGGCCGGATGCTGCCCCAGGCTTGAGCCGAGCCAGGCAAGTGCCTCTGCCAGTGGCTCCCTGGCTCTTTCTCCAACCAGTCAGCCATTTGCCTCTTTCTGTGGCCCACCTCATCACAGCCCCCGCTCCCCGTCGGCGCCCAATGCATTTTCCACCCGATAAACATACAGTAAAGGAAACTTAGTGGAAGTAAATAGGCTTAACATTTTTTTTTATTTCCATACATCTTTGTTGGGTGTATGGAGCTTGATGAAGACAGACTTGATGCCGTCATATGCAGAGTTCTGTGGGAAGGGTCTGCTTATCAACTTGGATCAGAATGGAAGGGCTGCCTGGAGGCAGTGGGGGCAGGAAGACAGCTCAGGGAGACCAAGACCCCAGACTTTCCTGGAGGTGTGCCCAGGGGTGAGCATGCTGGGGCTGAGTCTAATTTTCCTTGGCTGCTGATACCTCCTGGAAGTTGGGGGCATCTCTGCTGCCTCATGTCCTATCTTGTTGAGGCTTTGGGGGCTACAAACCATCTATCACCCTTGAGGTCATCAAGGAGAAAAGGTCAAAGTTCTGTACTATTTCATAGCATTATAAAGCTCAGTAACAGACATTTACATAATGCCTAGTAGGAGCAAGAAAAGTGCTCTTGTCTGTTGTATAAACCAGTTTGAAACCTGGCAGGTACTGGACCAGGCTCAGCTGCAGGCGAGGAAAGTCCCGGGCAGTGCTGGTCACTTAGGGGCTACTGCCTGTGTCCCTTATATCTGTGTCGGGAAGACCCTCCCACTCCGGCCTCTCACCTGCCTCCCTAGTCAGCACAGCTCACTAGATAGGTGGGTAGGTCCTTAGTCACCTCTGCCAGAGCAATTTCTCATTTCTGGATGATTATGCTTGAGAAGAAAAGAAATGAGGATTTAGAGAAAATAATTCAACCACCTTCAAAATCAGAAGATGTATTAACTATTGGAAATATCCTTTCATATTTATTAAATATTTGCCAACCCCATATTTTAAAAAGATTTATTTATGCGTAAAAGAACTGGGGTGCAGGCCACAGGTACAGGGGGTAAGAGGATTCACCAGAGACAGAGTGGATGACAGAACAGATAGATTTACTGAAATATACTGCTGAGGGGAGCAGCGGGCAAGACAAGAGAGGTCTGCTGCACCCTGTGGGTCAGCTCACTGGCCAGGGATTGAACTCATGCTGCAGTGGCTCTGGGTAGCTTCATAGTGCTGAGACTTAACCACCAGGGAGGCTCAGCTGTTCGTAATTTTGTTAATTTATTAACTATTTTCCTAGCCAAATATAATCTCAAATTGCTCAATCATTTTCCCAAAGAGATTGAAAACTATTTTCTTGTTCTTATTTTATTTGGTCTTGTTTGTCAAGCTTTATTTCAGAGGTCAGCACATTTTGTCTGTAAAGGCTTAGGTGGTGAACAGTCTGGGCTGGCGGGCTGCCTGGTCTCTGCCATAACTCCTCCACTCCGCTGCACATCATGAGAGCAGCTATAAACACACAAACCGTGAGCCTGACCATGTGCCAATAAAACTTTATTTATGAACACTGAAATTTTTACATAATTTTATTTTTCCCAGCCATTTAAAATATAAATATAAAACCCATTCTTAGTATTCAGGCTGCAAAATCAGTCTGCAAACCAGTTTTGGCCACCAGGCCCACAGCCTGTCCTGTCCCTGCTTCATGTGAAGACCTCCCTGGGTGTGGAGGAGGTACACAGGGGAGTGGGGGTGCTGTAACCCTAGTGCTGTTTTAAAATATCCTTTAGCTCTATCCTTAAGTTTGATATTCCATTGTCCTTTCTAATGTCTCTTAACGAAACATATGAGGTATTCAGCTCCAATAGGCCAGCCTCACTAAAGGGTGTTCATTGTGATTAAATAAAGAATCCTTTCCATGTTTTAAGGGACTCCTCTCAATGGGATTGGGGAAAACCAATGGACTGAACCTTAGGTGTTGTAACAAACAGCCTCCCCCTCCTGTTCCTTCTCCCACTAGTGTTAAGGGCAGGGCGGAAGGCGAGTTTTCAGGTGTCTGCCCTTGAGGTGGGCAGCACAGACCAGGACTTCTTGAGACCTGAGGCAGTGCAGAGCATTTTAATGGGAACAGTACATCACCCGGAAAACCGTGATGACTTCCAGGGTACAGCTCCCAGCTTTAGAGGGGGCAGGATCTACTCTGATGAGGGAATTCCTCTCTCGGCAGGCGGGCTTTGGGACAGAGGGCAAGTGTGCCGGCCCTGTGAACAGCAGCCGGCTTCCCCAGGAGGACCCCCGGGGAGACAGTGGACTGCACTCTTGCACCAAACCTAGAAATAGGACTAGGTGCTGACTGGGAAACTGGGAAGTGGAATTTCAGCAAATTTAGAAGCAATAGGTGACTGTCCCACTTCTTGACCATCTCTCATCCCTGAAGGTGGTTGCCCAGCAGGTGAACACCCCCACGTGCTAGGCCATCCCCGCTTTAGCCCATGAGCTGCATGCATGCATGCCTTCCTGCTGTATGCACTTGGGCACCAGGGCAGCGCGGCGCGCCTGCCCTGCGTGTGCGTGTGTGTGCATGTGCGCCATGCGTGCATAGGTGCCCATAGGTGCGTCTGCATCTGTGCAGGCATATGTGTGAGCCTTAGGCTAAGTGGAAATGTCCCTGGCTCTCTCCGTGCCATTATTTTAAGATCATGCACTGCTCCACCTCACCCAAATAGGATAAAAATATGTACTACTGCATTGGATGGGGCTGGACTTAAGGTAAAAATCTGCAGTTTTCTGAAAGAGCAGCCTACAGCAGGAGCAGTGGCTTTGGTTGGATGTGGCTGGTAGGGCCCTCAGGCCCGGGTAGCTCTGCCTGCAGCCCTGGGCCTGTGTCAGCCAGAGTACTTGCTGTGGTGAGAGGTTGGTGGTCCTCAGGCAAGTTTGTAGCACTTACCCCGTTTCTGGGTGAGCAGGGAGGGTGACAGGTCTTGATGGTGACAAGCAGACTCTTGCGACACCAGGCCTGGTCTGCAGCCGAGGAGGAGGCAGCGCAGAGCGGAGCCACCTGGGATTTCAGGTTGATTTTAAGCAAGTGCCCCAGATACCCAATTGGTCGTTTCAGTCTGTTTTGTCTGTTTATTCGAATACAGCAGAAGCTGTCTGTGTATAGAATGGGAACCTCTTTTTTTAAAGTATTAAAAGGTACATGAGGCCTGGGACTTGGTTTGGGTGATGCTCAGCCAGCCCTGCAAGCTGCCTTCCTGCTGCCAGGACACAAGAACGACCCGCCTGGGCTCTTCTGCGAGGGAGGGGCCGCGGGAGACTGGTTTCCTGGGACTGTGAAGAATTTTAACGTGTCAAATCCTCCTGATGACCGAGGGTTGAAGTCCCCTCCTGAGCACCCCAAAGCTGCTACCGGAAGTCTGCGGCCTTCCGAGTCCTCCCTTCCCAAGACTGCCTTCCCCTGAGGCCAGTGAAGTCGCAATGCCCGGGCCAAGTGGCCCAGAGGCTGAGGGCAGCCAGGGGCCCACATCCTCCTTTGCTGCATGCTGGGAACCTTGAGCCTATTGTCCCCTGGGCACACCTGGCAGGTGACGCGCTCACCTGTGGCACGTGGTCACGGCAGGCTTCGGGCCGTGCCCGACGTGCTGGGTGCTCACCCTCACCCAGCTTGTCCTCGGCACAGCACAGGAGGAATGTGAGTTTTTAAGGCTTAAGGCTTAAGCCTGAGATTGCTCAAGTTGATGTGAAAGGTTAACTCACTCCATGGCTTGGGTGGAAGGGCCTCCTGTGGTGACAAGTCCATGAGCTGCGTGTGGGAGCGGCAGCGGGTGGGTGCTGCCACCGCCGCCCCTGAGTTCTCACAGTGTGCCCCTCCCACAGGTGGTGAAGACCATCGGCCTTCGGGAAGTGTGGTACTTCGGTCTCCAGTATGTGGATAATAAAGGGTTTCCTACCTGGCTGAAACTTGATAAAAAGGTAAGCAGAGGTGACTCTCCACAGGGTAATTGGGTGTTGTTCTGCCCCGTTGACATGGAAACAGGAACACCTTACTCTGTCTTTTGTTTTTTTGTTCTTTTTCGTTTGTGCAAAAGTTTTCATAGACAAAAGGGTCGCAGGTTTCCAGTAAAGGGGATGTTGGTTGGAAATTCGATCCCGCATCTCCTCTCTGCCCTCTCACCTGCGCACGGCGGGCCTGGGCTGAGCTGTCAATTGCTTCAGGTTGTTTCTCTGACGAGATTGCTAATCTGCTAAGCCATGAATCATGGCTGTTTTGTAAGAACCTGCTACTGCTTTGTTTGAACGTTGCTGGGTTATCTTCCAACTCTAAAGGCTCGATGAGCCTATGAATAATAACAAAGAAGAGCAAAAAACTACATGTGTTTTCCCCAACTTGAAAACTAGCCCCTCCCCAGGACCTGCTGCCCTCCTGTGTTCCCGTGATAAGTCAGGAGGGCAGCTGGAGCGTGAAGGCGAGAGTCCTGTGGCCCAGCGTGGGCTGGACACAGGTGCCCCCTCACTGGCCGTGAGGCCAGGTTGCTTCTAAATTCAAGTTTTGTGGGATGGCACACTTGGTCCCGGGAGCTCCGGGGACTGGAGAGCTCCCAGGTCAATAAGGGGTCATGTGAGGTTTCCAGCTCTGTGGTGGTCCAATAGCAGGACTTTAAGTCTGCCTTTTCTGGGTCTTATATGCTAAGGAGGCAGCTTTCAGAAGAAACACCAACTCCTGAAAACTGCCCAAGGGCCCCTTTGAGTGAGTGTGACCAGCCCGTGTCTGGGCAGGCGGGTCTTGCTCTTGCCAACTGTGTGGGGCTTTGGTCGTTGTCCAGGTGTCCGCCCAGGAGGTCAGGAAAGAGAACCCTCTCCAGTTCAAGTTCCGGGCCAAGTTCTACCCTGAGGATGTGCCTGAGGAGCTCATCCAGGATATCACCCAGAAGCTGTTCTTCCTGCAAGTCAAGGAGGGAATTCTCAGCGATGAGATTTACTGCCCACCTGAGACGGCCGTGCTCCTGGGCTCGTACGCCGTGCAGGCCAAGTTTGGAGACTATAACAAAGAGATACACAAGTCGGGATACCTCAACTCTGAGCGGCTGATCCCCCAGAGGTGAGCAGGGGGTGGCAGGCCTGGGCCACGGCGGCCCAGAGAGGCCTGATATGTGTGAGGAGGCCCAGAGCTAAGGACTCTTCAAGGGCAGTTTTCTGGCCTGAGTGCAGCCCCACGCTGCCCCCTCACACTGACCAGCCAGTCGTGTCCCTGGGGCCCAATGATCCCCCCCACAGGCTCTGATAAAGAAGCATGGCAGGGACTGAGGAATGCTTGGCTTGCCACATGGGGGCCCACAGCTGGGTGCAGCTTCTGAGGCCAGTGACTCGGCTTCTCTGCTGTGTGGTCAGCAGGCCCTGTTCAGTCTCTATCTGCTGATGGTCACATGAACGACCCCTTGGGAAGAAGAGGCCTCTTAAAATAAAACGCCTTTTAAAGAATACAGTTTTCCCGGGAGGATGGGGTGTCTTGTTCTGGGTTCTGAATCTCCCGGGCCGTTGTTTGTCATCAGCAGAAAGGCCAACCTCAGACTTAGAAACAGGCGCTTTTTGTGTGTTATTGAAAGAGAAGTCAAGCTTTGCTTGAGGAGGTGCCCATAATCTGTCTCACGCCCCATGGGGTCTCCTCTTATCTCCCCAGGGTCATGGACCAGCACAAGCTCACCAGAGACCAGTGGGAGGACCGTATCCAGGTGTGGCACGCCGAGCACCGCGGGATGCTCAAGTGAGTGGCTGCCAGATGCCTGCCGTCTGCCCAGGGCTCCAGTCAGGGCCTCCGGGGACCAGGCTCCAGGCCCAGTGCAGGCAGAGCGGGAGTGGCTGGGTGCTGAGTGCTGTGGGGGTCCCCCAGCAATACCAGGTTTTCCTGCTTGAGGTGGGAGGCACTTTAGCATAAGCTTTCATGCTTGGAAGCTTCTCCCTTCCTTGTTCTAGAAGAAGGTCTGCAGCTCCCCTTTAGTCTAGTGAGGGCTCTCTGCACATGCACTAGCAAGTCGGTCCTTCTGTCCAGCGCAGGGGTGCTTACTGCTCATGGTGGCCGTGTGGTTGCCTTCACTGCATGCGTAAGTGGGAATCACGGACCCTGAGTGAGAACACTTGCTAGGAAAGAGCGAGACCAGGAAGTAAAGGAGCAATGTGGCGTGACCTGCAGCCTGTCGGCTAGGGCTAGAGCTCCGCCATCCTGGGCCCTCCTCCCAGGCAGGGCGGCATCTGCACGGTCCTCACCTCTGGTCATGGGCAGTTTGGAGCTCAGAGACATCATGTGCTTAGCATTTCCTGCCTGACCCAAGTGTCTTTTATGGAGGAAAATAACTAACCCAAGTGATGGCTGCCAGTGAGGAGCAGCGCAGCCCCAATGCCTCTGGGCAAGAGGTAGAGAAGGCCCGTGCCCAGCACTGGACTGAGGAAGCTGCCTCCAGAGCAGCCGGTCCCAGCCAGTTCCCTCAGAATGTGTGGGGATCTGGAGCCCCACTCGGGGTCGGGGTGCACGTGGCCAGCAGAGGGACGGACTAGAGCAGGCAGCGGGAGCCCCTCCAGCGAGATCTGCCGCAGGGAGACCCTGGCAGTGGTTTCCCTTTCAGGGCGGAGCTCACACTAATGCTTCTGCTCATGTTCGTCCCCACTAGAGACAGTGCCATGCTGGAGTATCTGAAGATTGCCCAGGACCTGGAAATGTATGGAATCAACTACTTTGAGATAAAAAATAAGAAAGGAACAGACCTTTGGCTTGGAGTTGATGCCCTCGGACTGAATATTTATGAAAAAGATGACAAGTGAGTGGAACTTCACAAATTGCCTCCATCTGCTGGGGTGGTGGGCCTGGAAAGAATGGAGTTCAGGGCAAGAATGTGGGTTGCGGTTGACATTTCATCTAGCAATGTAACTGGCCCAGGGGAGACTCTTGATGCCTTCTCATGCCAGCGGCCAGCAGAGGCCTGCACTATTCCTCACCTGTCACCATCCCACATTCCCAGCACGCATAGCCAGGGCCCAGCAGGGGCGCCCCAAGGTCTTGACTTGACTCTGGGCGCATACAAAGGGGCGGCCGGAGGCACCAGCCGCGTGGTTCCAGCCATCCTCGTGGCTTGAGATTTGTGTTGATCCAACCAAAAATATTTTTCATACTATCAGAGACCTCAGATTCTATAAACAATGTCCTTTCTGTACACTTTTGCTCGCTCTGGATCCATTGTTGCGTAGGACCTGCTAGTGCGGGGCGGCGTGGAGTAGGCCAGGCCTCCCATTGGCTTCCCTGGCCCATCCCTGTGGCTACAGACACTGCATTTATGCCCTTTGCTGCCACCGCACCAGATACATGGAAAACGTCATTCTGAGTCACTATGGGCACGTTTTCCATGATGGTTCCTGGAGAATAAGCCAATATTCTTGATTTTTCTAGTTAGTAGCTACCTCACTCTAAGAGACAGTAGGAGGAAACTCTTCTGGGAAAAGAAGGCTCATGTTCGCCACTGGCCTCTGCTCTGAAGGGCTCCCCCAAACACACCCCAATGGTGCCTCTCAGGCTTCAGGCACTGACTGAGAGGAACAGTGCCTCTGTCAGTAGGCTCCCCGGGGCTGTAGGCAAAGCCCAGCCTGTCAACCTGGTTCTTGCATCGTGAGCGTGGGCAGTGGGCCCAGCATTGTGGCTTGAGTGTGCACAGGCCTTGGAACTAGGGCAGAGCTGGGCGTCCTGGCCCCTCCCAGCGCGGGCTGTTCCTGCACATAGTGGCTCCTGCATATTTGCACGCCGCACCCGTCTCGCTGGTCTCAGGTGTTCGTGTTGTCAGCTCCCCCACAACACGAGGTTGGGGTTGTTCCCCAACCCCCGGCATTTGTGATCAAATGGCACTGCTTTTGACAAATGACAGCCCTACAGCCTCTGTGAAGTCCCACCAGGTGTGCCCTTGCCACTGCACACACAGGTGGATGTCACTGGGGCTGGGTGGGGTCTGGGCCAGGCAGTGCCAGGACCTTCACTGAGTGGGCGGGCAGGAGGCCTGCATCCAAGGGCCTCACTCTCCCCGGGAGGAAGGGTGCCATTGGGCGTGACTCAGGCTGTGCTCACCAGAGAATCCCTGGCTTTCCCCAGAGCCTCTAGGTAGCTCTCCCTGGGGGTGCCAACCAGGCTGTAGAGGAACACGAGCATTCTGGGAAGCAAGGGGCTCCTGGAGGCCCTGAGTGGGAGTCTGGGGCTGGTTAACTGGGCAGCAGGGCCCGTGGGATTCACGTGGGAAATAACCTCTGTCTTTGACCTCATTTCTTGAACGACCAGATCCTGTAGCAGCCACGTTCAGGGCTGTCCAAACAGGTTTTACAAGCTGCAGAAAGCAGCCATAGGCAAGAACTTGCTCATGTCAGCTGGTAACTACCCCCAACCCACATAAATGTACATTTTTCCAAGTAAAATTTCCAGCGACCTGCTCATTCAGTCCTCTTCCTGCTCTCCTTCCTCACACCCCACTTTATTTTTTTTATTTTTATTTATTTGTACAGGCCAGATGTGTGGGAGAGTAAGAGGATTCACCAGAGACAGAGTAGGGAGCAGAACAGGCAGATTGACCAAATAGACTGCTGAGGGGAGCAGCGGGGGAGACAGGAGAGGTCTGTCTCGCCATGTGGGATTCTCGCTGGCCGGCTGGGATGGAACCAGCGCTGCAGAGGCTGTGGACAGCTTCACAGTGTAGCACTCAACCCACTGCGCCACCAGGGAGGCCCTCATACCCCACTTTAGTGGTGAAACTGGCAGTTCACTCAAAGGTGTCTTCGCCCCAGAAAAAGTGATGGCCCCAGGGCCAGCCTCGCCTTTGCCCCTCACACCCCCGCCCCTATGAAACATTAATCCAGACAATGAATCAGTAGATTTTTTTTCCCCTTTGAAACAAATGTTGACAGCAACAAATGACCCAACAAATGTTGGGTGCCAGGATGGGCGGGAGACTGGCTCGGTGCTGGGGGGCGGGGGGTGAGGAGCGCCAAGACCACTGGTCCCGTCGCAGGACTGCCCCTGCCCCCGCCTGGGTGACCGGTGTCCTTGGAGCCTTGTTCGAGTGAGAAAGCATATGCCCACCCTGGGAGCTGGGTGATGAGAGACATAGTGACTGCAAGAGGCTGCAAACACACCCCCCCCCCTCATTTTACTAAAATGCTTATCCTTTTTGGTATTAAATATTCTCCATTTGGGAAATGGCTGCAGGGGTCGCTTTCATGGTGTGCGGAACCACCGGGTGGCAGGGAGGACTGAGAGCCAGTGTCCTTTTCTTTCTGGTCTTAAACCCTTAGATCAGGAGCGGTGGGGACATGGACAGGGAGGAAGTGGGCATTGGTAGCTTGGGGACTGGGAGAGTTCAGGGCAGCTGGGCATCCTTAGACCCAAAACAAAACAGCAGAAGCCAGCAGGACAAAACTGAAAGATCCTGCCCCCAAGCCCTGTAGTTCTTTAAAAGCGCTCTTTTTCTTCACGTGTGGAGTATACGTAACAAAACTGCACGTATGCTGGCAAAGCACAGCAGAAACAAACCTTAGACTTGGTGGAAAATGTGCTGGTTACCAGCAGGAACAGGGGAGAGAGGAGTGAGTGAAGCTGAAGGGAGGAGGAAAGATGTAACCCCAAAGTTATACACATGTAAATGACTGACATTAATAATAATAAAAAAATTAAGACAGACGCCTATTTGCCCCTCCTAGGGCTCCCCTCCCAGGGCTCACTCCCACCTATGAAGCTGCTGGTGGGAGGGCTCCAGCTAGCGATTCAGTTAACCCTTTAAGGGAGAGGATGTTGAAAAGCTTTGCAGACAAGTTGGGGACCAAATCAAGAAACAGGGTTCTTTTCCTTACTTGGGGTTGTAAATGAGATGTTTCGATTTACATTTCCATTTGATTAGCTGTAGAAATGATGTTTCAGGCACATTATAATAAGCCACTGAGAAGGGTCGTGCTGTCTCTGACAAGGCTGTCAGAATATGTTAACTGTGGCTTCCCGGGGTGCTGGGACGGTCCACCTGGGATGGAGGTGATTGTGCTGATTGTGTGATTTTGTTTTAGTGCCTGTGCCCATCACAGGTGTCAGACTGTTCTCTCCTTTCTGGTTTTGGAACCCCAACTTGAGCACAGACATGTCCAGTAGTCTCTTATAGAAGTTTGCCATGGCGAGACCCCCAGCTCCACCTCCTGTAGTGAGGAGCTTGGAAGCTCCACTCACATGGGCCGAGGAGAGAGCCCATCCTGCGATGGGCCAGGAGAGGTGGGGTTCCTGTAAGTGTGCCTGGCAGACGGCAGTAGAGAAAGGAAGTGGGGAGATGCAAAACAGTGTTACGGTCGTCAGTGTGTTTTGAACTTAAATCCTGAGCTGTTTTTTCCAATTGGAAATATTTCTAGACTTTATCAGGTTTCCAAAAAGTAGTGGAAGGAATCCCCACATGCCCTTCGCCCAGCTTACAGAACCATAGCGCAAGTTTGGAAATCAGGAAGTAACACCTGTAGCCCAGGTAGCCGTGTGAGTCATCTGCCCCAGGACCTGCCAGGAGACACCTATGTCTCCCTGTGAACCCCCTCAGCCCCTCTCCTTCCACCTGGGACGTTTCCACAGTCTGTCTTATGATGTCACAACCTTGCCACTTCTTGCCTTAAGAAGGCCCTCAACTTGTTGGCCTGGTGCTTTCTCTGAAATAGATTCAAGTTTTGCATTTGGGGCCAGAGCCTCACGCAGGTGCTGCTGGGCCTCCCAGGCCTCTCCTGGGGTGGTGCCGCTTACTATGCCTGTCACTGCGGCCCGGCCACAAGGTGTCTCCCTGTGAATCCACTGTCCTTCCTTTCATGACTGAGAAGTGTATTTCAGGAAGATACTTTGAAACTATATAAATATCTTGTTTCTTATCCTATTTTCCACCTTTTAATTCTAATGTCCATTGATGAGTCTTGCATGAAAGTTATCACACCATAATTCCAGAAATGAATTTTATAAAATTATTTCTTTCACATGTGTTATTTGTATTCTGTAAGAAAACAATTTCTCTTCTCCATTTGTTGTTTAATTATTGATATTACTATGGATTCTTAGTAATATCAATAATTAAAGCCACAGTGAGGGGCCTAAAATTGAAAGACTGATGTGAACAGGAGCATATCTAAAGGGCCTAGAGCCTGAGCCGCGGGCCGCCCCTGGCTTAACCCGGGACTCTAGGAGCTGTTGCTGACGATGAACTGGGCGTCCTGGCTTCCCAGCTTTATACTTGTTAAGTTCCGCTAATGTAATGCATTCACGTACCTCTTGTACCTCTTGGAGCCAACGAAGCACACACCTAATCTCCCACCTTTGTTTTTTCACCAGGTTGACCCCAAAGATTGGCTTCCCGTGGAGTGAAATCAGAAACATCTCTTTCAGTGACAAAAAGTTCGTCATTAAGCCCATCGACAAGAAGGCACCTGTGAGTTCATACGGGTTCGGCTCAGGCTGCCATCTGACGTTCTCAAGGCTGAGTGGGTTTCTGGGATGACAGTCAGACTTCCCGTCCGAGTGAGCAGGAGCCAGTGATACTCAGAAGCACCTGGGGGCTGGGAGAGTTTTGAGCAGGTTATGCTGAGGGTCAAAGGGCCCTGGGGGCATGTGACTGACCTCCATGGGGAGGTAGCTGTTGAGTCCAGGTGTCAAAAGCTGGCTGTTCCTGTTTTCAGTGTTCTCCATTCTTACAAAGAAAAGGGCAGCTCTGAGTCACTGTGCTTTTCTCAGTAGTAAGCATTTCACAAAATGCTGCGTGTCTGGGCTCTGGAAGATGTTCATGTTCAAGTAGAAAACCCACTGCCTCTGGTCAGGTTGCAGGGGTGCAGTGCCCGCCCACACCCAGCTGGGGCATGACTGCTGGTGGCTACCACCATGAGCCTTGGTGTGATTACATTCAACCTTGTTCAGAAAAGTCACACTTGCCTCCTGAGCACTGCTGGTCCCTGCTGGCTTCCCTCTCCCTGCCCTCTGCCCCGCGGGGTCTTCACACTGCACCCTCACATGAGCACTGACTGGGAAAGGTCGGTTGCAAGATGAGAGGCGGGCGTGGTCCCAGGAGCACTCAGCTGCAAGGACCCTCGCCTCCTGGAGCTGGAGGAATAGGGTCTGTTAGCTGCAAAATCTGGTGCCTCGGAGCAGTTGATTTTGGTTTTTATGTTTCTTCTGCTAAATTTAAATTGTAAGTTTTGTTTGCATGGAAGATTTAAGACATGCGTAGTGTAATGTGTGGTGGAGTGACTGAGGATTTGATTTTGTAATCAGAAATCTGGTTCTTTAAAAAAATGCCACTTGGGGAAATTCTGTTCTCTTCCTTCCAGCCTCGCCTGAATTTTACCAAAGGAGTAGCCTGGAAAGGATTTGTGTCTCAGTTACAGAGTCAGGCTCAGTGAGGTAGACGCAGATGGTGGTCCCGGCCTCGGAGCCCAGGGCCCACGCTTGGCATGGCTGACCCCAAGCTGCAGAGTGGGCGTCGCTGTCCCGCTGCCCCTCCCTGGGTGGGCAGTGAGGCCCACAGTGTGAAAACCCGAGGTCTAGACACGGCCTGTGGAAGTGTTTTCTTTACTGCAAATGCTTCCTGCTGTTTGCAAGCTCCCGACCGCTGCTCCAAGGGTAGTTGTAGTCATTTAACGTTGAACTGACATTTAAGTCAGACCCTGCGGTGCTGGGAAACCCTAAATCCATCTGCAATACATGACGCAGGTCATTGCGGGGACCCCATTAGCCCTGAGACTGGGTGACTGGCAGAGCAAGATGCTCCTGGTCAGTAAGGGGCTAATTTTTCAAACAATTTTTGTTTTGTCTTTGTTTTAAATTTGGCTGACAGAAGCAGGGGGCCTAGAGCAGCCTGTTTAAGGATTAAGTTGTGTTTTTTCAAAATTTTGTCCCAAGTGTTGCTTTTGAAAAGCTGCAGAGTATTTCCCGATCATAAACTTCCAAGCAAAGACAACCCTGATGCCCTCTGCGTGGATCAGGTGATCACGCTTGTACTGCGTGAAGCCACCGGATAGAGAAAAACAAGGAGGCAGACGCTCACTGGCTGCAGGCTGCACGCTGCATGAGCAGACGGCCCGCCCGCCGAAGCCTGCAGTCTAGTGGAAAGAAGGAGAAAAACAAGTAAATCAAGTAATACAAACTGGCTGGCAGTGGGTTTAACAGTGCAGCTGTGATTAAATAACAAATCAGGATAAGGGGGTAAGGAGGAGATGAGTTGGGCTGGGAAAACCTCCCAGAGGAGCCCCGTGGGGAGGGGTACGACGTGAGTTGCCGGTGAGGAGCGTGCACCTTGCACCCTCCACGCCTCCCTCCTAGGCCGCATGGCCCAGACTTTGTACTTGGGCCAGTGGAAAATTTCCCAGGTTAACCTTTCACCGAGAAGATAGAGAAGGAAACCCCAGAGCTGGAGCTCACATCCTGGCAGCTCAGAGTCCTGTGTCTCAGGTGACATGTGCAGGGTACCCCACCACACTGGTGACCATGTCCAGTCCTGCTCAGTGTCCCAGCACCGGCCCCGAAAAGCCCATTTCTCCTCCCTGCCCGGGGGACTGTGGTTGTCTGAGGCTGCATCCGGACACTGGCTGGACCACGCCCCCCGGGCATACGGAGGTCCAGAGCCTGCCCAGGTGCCCTGTGTGGGGCCGGGACGAGCTGTCCCTCCCACCCCCTTCAGGGAAGGACCTCGTGGGAAAGGCAGAAGGCCCTCGGTCACCTGGCTTAGTATTTAAGTTTTGAGATTATGCAAAAATGAAAACCCACGTCAGACTGTGAGCGGCTCTTTGCTTGGCTTCTCCATCTCCTGAGCACTGGGGGATGCGGCCCCGCTCTCCTCCTCCCTGGCTTCCGTCGGGGCCATTAGTTCTCGGCCGCTGGAGAGGCCGGCGGGGTTGTGGGTTGTGTTAGAGGCATGCATGGCCGGCTCGGATAAGAAATCTTTAAGTAAGTAAATACTAGTTTTCCGTTTTTGTTTCTAACTTGACACCAAGGCAGCCGGGGAGTCCCTCGGCCTGGCCCCATCAGCCGGGGCCCACGAGCTGCATTGTCCCTGCACTTCTCAGCACCATCTCTGGCCCTTGCTCTGTGAGGAGATGCTTCCTGCAACTCTGTCCCTCAGTTTTTTTTTAGAGGGACTTTTCTAAGGAGGAGCTGGTGCTGGTCAGAGCTTTTCTGCCAATGCCTCGGAGCCAGTTGAGCCGTGTGGCTGTCACGGCCAGAACACAGGATTGATTTCTCTTGTGTAACAAGAGATAGGTGGGTAATAAAAATACCTGCTGCTCCCAGCTCTGCAGACGCCTCCCCGGGAAACCCGATGACTTAATCACAAGTGTGTGAAACCCCAAGGAGGGCCCCACCCTGGAAGCCCGTGGGCTCCGGACAACAGGGCACTCTCCCTGCTTTCTGGGGCAGGAGAAGAGATGGAGACGCTAAGTAGGCCTCTTTGGGCATGTTGTGCTCACCCGCGGGCCTGTGGGTGGCCCAAGTCACTAGCACTGTTGATCGCAATCACCCTTTTCCTGGCCCAGTGATGGAATCTGGGTGCCGAGGGCCTCATGATCAAGATTGAGACAAGAAAGGAAAAAAGGAAAAGGAAGCACACAGGCATTTTTAAATAATGAGGATTTCCAAGCTGCAGTTCCCCTGAGTCACCCACATTATTCACAGCACAGCAGGAAGCTGGGGACCTGGCTGCTGTGACCCAAACTACTACACACGCAGCATGGGGTTCTCACGAGAAGGCCTCCCTGCTCGCAGCCATGAGTGCTGGTGACCAGCGGGCCACACCGCCCTGAGTCCTTCAAGCCTCATCTCCTTTGCTCCTGCAGCTACCCCACCCAGCAGCAACTGTCCTGTCATGCCTTTGGGGGTATAGGGGTGTCCGTGCCGCATGCATCCTGTGGTCACAGGCTGTCAATCACCCCCAGATATGCTCTGAGCCCCTGAATCCTCAGCTTCGGTCGGTCCTGGAAGTAGATGAGCGAATATGGCCCTGCTCTCAGGGGAGCGGTTGGTGAGGGCCAGCACCACAGCTGACCCTTCTGTCAGGTACAGGCCACAGGAGTAGTGCAGGGAGCAGGCAGGGCACGGGATGAGCTTCCGTCATCCCAGACAAGTGTCAGTGTCCTCAGGCCTGTGGGGCTGGACTGGACATTCCAAGGAGCAGGGGCTATTTGAGGCAGTGCCTGGGTATGGAGGAGGCCAGTGAGGTGAGCGAAGGGAGGTCGGGCCAGAGCTGAGCCCTCCCGTGTGCCAGGCCAAGATGTCTCGACCCAGCTAACAAACCAGCACTGAAGGCCCAGTGTTCCTGCTAGTAGCCTAGTAGCCGAGGGAGGTGAAAGGTCAAGGCAGTGGAGACGGGCGCTCGGAAGGTGAAGTTGGGGTGGTCCTGGAAGGATGAGGCAGCGGCTGCAGGGCCGGCGAGGACAGACAGGTTGACCTGCAGAGTCAGCAGCACAGGACAGACCTTGGGCAGGCCCCACAGCCCAGCATCCTGGCTCTGGCACCTCGCTGACCCCATCGTCAGCAGAACCCATCTGGCCCCCGTGTTTGTCCTTTTGAAATGGTATCTAGAACTTCATTAGTTTTGGAAGAAGAAAACCAAGGAAAGGGCCCGAGTCAGCATCCCCTGTTCTGTCCACAGGACTTTGTGTTCTATGCCCCTCGCCTGCGCATCAACAAGCGGATCCTGCAGCTGTGCATGGGGAACCACGACCTGTACATGCGCCGCAGGAAGCCCGACACCATCGAGGTGCAGCAGATGAAGGCCCAGGCCCGGGAGGAGAAGCACCAGAAACAGATGGAACGGTGAGCGAGGGAAGGGGCGTGTGCCCTGGGGCAGGACGGTTGGGCACCGGGGCTCTGCTGCAAACCAAGTCCAGACCCCCGGCGCGGCCTGTGATCTCTGCCTGCAGCTCCAACCCTGGGCCCTGGACGAGGCAGGTGAGGCACTTGGGATAGCTGAGTGGTCCCTGAGGTGACTGGCTGTTAAGTGTGTTGACACAACTTGCTGCCAGGCCTGAGCCTGCCCGTGCCACCTGCAAGGTGCTGTCTCTGCATATTAGTAATCGGTGTAGTGGTTGGACCGCCCTGTAGTTCAGGGCAAGGTGATTGGCAGTGACCTTCGGGAAAGAAGGTTTATTACTTACAGGGCCTGGAATTTCCCAGGCACTCCTGGTCACACAGCGAGGTCTCTGGAGAGAGTGCACAGGCCTGGGGTCCTGCTTTCACTGGGGTCAAGTGGGGGTGGGGCTAGGGTTTCGCGGGCTCACCCCTTATAGGGAATTTAAAACCTCAGCAGGGATTTAAGTGCTGGGAGAGAGAAAAAGGGAAGAGACACACGTGGCCCGAATGACCAGTTTTCTCAGCGAGCCAGCCCCAAAAACAAAGGTCCATGGCTGGCAGCGTGCACCGGGACACCCTCTGCAGGGATGCCCGGCCACAGAGGCCAGGTCAGGCACTCGCGTCGCAGCCAGAAACCCCCACGCAGTGCTCACACTCCCCTCCCCCCCCACAGGCAGCAGCTGGAGTCCGAGAAGAAGCGGAGGGAGACTGTGGAGAAGGAGAAGGAGCAGATGCTGCGTGAGAAGGAGGAGCTGATGCTCAGGCTGCAGGACTATGAGCAGAAAACCAAGAAGGCAGAGAAAGGTGGGCGGCAGCCTCGTGGCAGGCGTGCGTCGCTGCTGGGTTTTGGGGTGTCTGGACATCTAAGTCCACAGAGAGGGATCCAGACACCCAACCTCCAAGAGCACATGTCCCGGCTCACACAGAACCCCAGGAGAGCAATGCAACCATCGTGTCTACACCGCACGGAAAGTGGCCACACTTTATTCCCAGCGTGCTGCTTGTGCTAGTGCTCTCTGCACACTGCCTTCTCACTTTCCCTCTAGTCCCATGAGGTGGGTGCTGAGGTCTCCCCACTTTCCAGGGGAGGATGTTAAGGTTAGCAGGCAGGAGGATTTGCCTGAGCTCACACCATTGGCAAGCAAGCCATGAGCCCCCCCACCCTATACACTGACCCGGGTGGGGGGGGGCAGTGCGGGTCATCCAAAAAATGCCAGCAATACGGCTGCTGCCACCTGTTCCCTGGACATGGGGCTTGCCGGGCAGTGCCAGGAGAGCCGTGTCCACAGCTCCCTCAGCCTAGGAAAGGTCCTGATTCAAAATATAGCTTCTCCTTAGCGTGTGTGGCTCCCGCACCTCAGAGTCGAGTCCTCGTTGAACCATGGGACGATGAGGTGCATGAGCCCCGCCGGCAGGGCCGCCCTGGCGGCTCCTGGCGGTGAGCGCTTCTGACCTCCCTGCAGGCACTGCCACAACAGGTGGGGCCCTCGGCCCATGGCTTGGTCCAGGGCTTTAGAGCTATTGGGGTGATTCCCCCTTCATCCCACCCCACGCACCCAGTAGGGCAGGACTGCAAGGTCCCTGGCCAGAGCCTTGGAGTAGATCGATTCTGTGTTCTTCGCAGAGCTCTCGGACCAGATTCAGAGGGCCCTGCAGCTGGAGGAGGAGAGGAAGCGGGCCCAGGAGGAGGCCGAGCGCCTGGAGGCTGACCGCATGGCCGCGCTGCGCGCCAAGGAGGAGCTGGAGCAGCAGACGGTGGATCAGATAAAGAGCCACGAGCAGCTGGTAGGAGGCCTGAGTGTCATGATGCTGAATTATAGAGAGGTCCCTCTGGGAATCAAAAAAGTGACACCTGCCTTATAACAATTGTATCTGGGCTGTATAAAGTGATCTGCCTGGAGCGGAAGCAGGGGCCTCTGTGGGTCAGGGCGGGGGATGTGGAGGTCCGGCTGGGTCTCAGATCCCCTGGGCCGGTGGACACTGCTGGTGGGAGGCAGGGAAGGGCCACTTGGCAAAACGTGACTGTTCAGTCACAGATGAACCCTATGGGAGGATTCCAGAAATGACGTGGGCTTTGTTCTCCGTGCCCAGGCCGCGGAGCTCGCAGAGTACACCGCCAAGATCGCCCTCCTGGAGGAGGCGCGGAGGCGCAAGGAGGACGAAGTGGAGGAGTGGCAGCACCGGGTGAGTACAGGCCCCATGGCCAGAGCAGGCAGCCTGGCGGGTCAAGCCCTGGGGCCTCAGTCCTCTGCCGAGACCAGTTGTGCTCAAGCAGAAACCCACATAGGAGCAGGCTCGTCCCCATGCTTGGGATTAGTGGGGGTCGGGGTGGGGGGGGTGGACAATGAGCCTCCTGTTCACTTCCACTGACTTGCTCTGGCCACCCTGAGCAGCTCAGCCCAGCAGCAGCCCCCCGTCAGGAACTGGCTTTAAATCCGATTGTGCGGGCGCCCTCAGCAGCCGCTGTGGTGCCTCCTCCCCGCTGTGCCCAGCGTGGCACCGAGGAAGGACCCAGACCCTGGAGGTTTCCCGACCAGGGCCGGAATGGAGGCTGTGCTGTTCATTTGCTGTGTGACTGGAGCGAGGGGCCTCTGTCTCTGGGCCTCTGTTTCCTCCTTGCAGGTTGGAAGTGATATCCAACTTGTAAGAGGACCCCCCGGAGAGGTTTAACGAGCAGCAGCAATGATAGCTGCGACTCTGTGCACCTTCACTGCCACAGGGTGGCGTGGGGCTGGGCTGCTCAGCCTGCACCTCCATCCCTGGCCCTCACCCCATCTGGTGGCTCCTCCTAGAGACACCCGTGCCTGCCCCTTCTGCTCTTCCCTGCCTTCCCCCCACCATCCCAACTTGCCCACAGACTTGGGTCCTAAGGGTTTTTGGAGAAAGTGCTCCCCGTAATGAGAAGCTGGTAGCAGCACAGGTATAAGCCAGGCTGGGGTGGCCAAGAGGTGGGCAGGGTTGAGTGTGTGTGCCTGGGAGAAGTTGCTGGAAGGTTTGAGGGGATGGGTAAGGAAGTACTTGAATTCGGTGCCATCGGGCCAGTGGGGATGAGGAAAACCACACAACCTTCTAGTGGCTTGAGGAATTTTCTCTTCGTTTTTCAACAACATACAATGAACATAGACTAGAATTACAGACAGATGAAAGAAGTTAACTGTACCTGAAAAACGCCAGTCCTTGTGCTATGGACGTGGTTGCCCTAGTTCACGAGATAGGAGGCCCAGGCCTGGGAGGGGCTGCCAACCCTGCCGGACACTTTGGTGGCCACCCTGGCCCACCTCCTCTATTCAGGGTGCCCAGTCCCCAGGAGGCAGGGTGATTGTTAAGAAAATAACCACACAGGAGGCTTCTGTGAGTTCTCACCTGTGTTCATCTGCTTTCAAAGGCCAAAGAAGCCCAGGATGACCTGGTGAAGACCAAGGAGGAGCTGCACCTGGTGATGACGGCGCCCCCGCCCCCACCACCCCCCATGTACGAGCCAGTCAACTACCTTGTGCAGGAGGACCCACAAGAGGGGGGCACGGAATCCGCAGGCTACAGCGCCGAGCTGTCCAGCGAGGGCATCCTGGACGACCGCCACGAGGAGAAGCGCATCACTGAGGCGGAGAAGAACAAGCTTGTGCAGCAGCAGCTAAGGGTGAGCAGACGCGGCCCGCGGTGCCCTCCAGACCGGACTGGGGTGGGGGCCTGTGCCCAGGGGGTGGGGTGCAAGGTCCTGTTGACCCGTGTGTCCTGTGTTGCAGACCCTGACTGATGAGCTGTCCCAGGCCCGATACGAGAACAAGAGGACCCAAAACGACATCATCCACAACGAGAACATGCGGCAAGGCCGGGACAAGTACAAGACCCTGCGGCAGATCCGGCAAGGCAACACCAAGCAGCGCATTGACGAGTTCGAGGCCATGTGAGGCCGCAGGGGCCCACCTGGCGCTGCACATCCCGCAGACGCCGACCTTGTGTTTGTAGTTCTCTGGTAGGCCCCACCTCCTGGTAGGTAGTAGTTGTCCCCGTGGGGACTTGGGGGCTGGGGCCCCATGGGAGCTCCCTGGTTTATCTTTCCCAATTGTATCATAGTGCCAAATAGGCCTGATTTTTATTATTATGGAATCACTTCTTGTTTTATGCTTCGAGCAGGACTGATTGAATTAAGGAGAGATGCCTGTAAAGTTTGAATCAAACACACTTTATACCTGCGTGTAGGGGACGATGCCTGCGATGGGGGTTGGGTATAATGAACGAACACGGCAGCGTTGCTTATATTCTGTGCCATACTTTTTTTTGTGTTTGAAATTAGGCCCACATGATTGATTAATTCCTGATTTCTGCAGGGGCTCCATCCTTGTATATTTATGTTTTGGGAGGGTTGAAACTTGTTTTGGAAACTGGGTCTGGCCCGCACTCCCATGCTTGTGCCCCCAGGGATTTCCTTCCTTCGGTCCTTCAGCCGGGAGGACAAATCCCGCTGTGAAGGGATCACTGTGGTGAAATCATACAGGCTGCCACGCCTCTCCTGGGCAAACTTTCCTTGTTTTGTCTCTGCTTTCCTGCTAGATGGTTACTCTGTTGGACTTACACACCTAATTCATGATCAGCTACCGGCGTATAGTATTTATATGTAAGCGACAATATAGGTTTATAACATTAGTTTAAAAAAGGGAAAGTTTTGTTCTGTATATTTTGCTACCTTTTACAGAATAATAAAGAATTACACATTAAAACCATGTAACTGTGGCACTTGACGTGATGGGACATGAGGGTGGTGGTGGGGCTAATGGGCCGCTCTCATCCCATCCGCCAGGGGCTTTTGTGGGTGCTCTTTGCTCACACAGCTTTTCTCGCAGAGCTTTCTGAAAACACGCTGCTAACTCAGATTCGGGCCACGGGGGTGGGGGAGGGGAGAGGGGGGAGCTCGTCCTGCCTGGTCTTGCCTCTGCTCCCACAAGAAGAGCTTGTGCTGACCTATTTCCACTCACCCACACCCCTAAAAGCTGTTCAGATGTTAGCCCGAATGCCAGCTCTGTTCACCCGTCTCTTCTTCCTTTGGGTTAAGCCACTCTCTACGGGTGGACCCCACCTCACAGGCCTGAAATAAAGTCCTCCGAGGCGAGAGACAGGGTGTCTGCTGCACGTTGAGGAGGGACGTGGTCCCTGGCCTCGCTGACGCTTTGCAGGACCAGGTGTCCTGGGGTGGGCCTGAGAACTTCCCACTCCAAAGTAGGCAGATTCCCAGCACCCCATACACCGGGCTCCCTTTTTCTCTTTGAAACACACAAACCTGGGCCCTAATGTCCACTATGCGACCAGCCGGGAGACAGGTAACTTGAGCATTTATTGAAGTCTGGCCAGTTCCCACATCTGCACGACCACGGTGAGACTTACTTCTGGAACCCAACAACTGGTCTGTTGAACTTTAAAGTCATGCATTGCTTAACGGCATGCCTATGTTCTGAGCAAAGCATCCAAGGGAACTTGCTTGAGGAGGGCACATGTCCAGAGGTGGCCAGCACCTCACTCAGCAGCAGGATTCTGGGGTGGCCCCGGGGCCATGCAGGCAGCCCTCATTACCTGCCAGAGAGCCGGAGCAGGGCGGGCCGGCCCAGCTCAGGGCGTGCTGGGGTGCAGGGCATATGCTTCCCAGCTGCTCTTCCCGCAAGCAGGACTGAGCTCCCTCATGCTGGAGCGGCCTCATTGCAAGACGAGCGTCATGTCTGTCCATAAATTGGGGCTGGAAAGAACTTTCTGCCACTGAAGCTTTGCCTGTGAGCAGGAGTCGGTGCTGCCAGCTGGGTCCTCCTCTGGCGGGTAAAATGACACATTTGTGAGAGAGCTGGGGACCACTTTACCACCCCTTTTCTTCACTTTACAAAATGGACATCAGCAGCAGAGACAAAGCATCTTTCACCCCAGCCCGAGGCCATGTGAGGATGAGAGGGAAGCCCCGACCGACCAGACCCTGCTTGGGATGGGCGGGGCAGCTCAGCCCCATTGTCCCCAGTTTGAAATCAAGGAGAGGCCAGCTTTGGGGGAGCTGGGCCTTCCAAAAGGGGAGTCAACAGTCCACACGTTACAATAGTTGGACAGGTGGGGGTGTCTCCACCTGGGGTGTCGGGGTGACCATGGAGAGGGGATCCTTAGGAGAGGGACCTTTAAAAATCCACGAGATTCTCGAGTCCTGTGAACTGTAGGGGCCTTGGTGGGAGGCTCAGAGAGGCATGGGGGTGTTTTGGTTGTCACAGCATTTGGGGGACACAGCTGGTGACCAGCAGACAGGGCCACAGTCACCCCGCAAGATACCAGCCACACGACCATCAAGCAACCCTAAAAACATCACCCGTGAGCCCCCGTTAATGAAAAGCTTTCTGAATTGGCATTTGTTTGGGTTAAGAAGATATTTTCCTTTCAGAAAATAATCCTGTGATTGAAGCCAGAAACAAAAGCAAATACTGTGCCCACATCCTTTTGAGGCCTATAACTTTTGTTTCTCTCGCGGATCTAAATCTGATTTAAATGGCTGAAATGCTTGGCTGTATTAGCGCTCTGCCGTGGGGAGGCTCTGAGCCGACTTGTGATCCTCACTTGGGGCAGGTCAGGCAATTTCACAGCCAGTTAAGTCACCTGCCACCCTGGGATCTGGGATCGCTTTCCCACCACAGCATCCCCGCAAGACAGTCACAAGGTCACGCCCACCTCCTGGGCCCAGCCAACATCACGCAGACTTACTGGAACCCAGCCTGGCTCCTCCCAGCAGGCGGTCGCTCAGCCCGAAGACGGCCTGGTCCCAGACGGTCAGCTCCAGGCTGGCCTGGCGCAGCTGCGCGGTGCTCACGCCTCTGAACACGAAGGAGTGCTTCCACTGCGGGCAGCCCTGCCTCTTCAGCACCGGGGACTTCAGCCTCAGCTTTTGCTGGTCGGGCAGGGTGAGACAGCTGCAGAAGGGAAGCCAGGCAAAACTTGGGGTGCTGCATCTGCACCCCACCTTCCCCTGGGTGCTTACTCACCAGTGGAATGATAAGTGCAAAGGACTAAATCATTAAAAAATAAAAATTTGAAACAGGGCCTCCCTGGTGGCGCAAGAGGTTAAGCACAGCACAATGAAGCTATTAGCAGCCTCTGAGGCATGAGTTCCATCCCCGGCCAGGGAGCTGCCCACATGGTGCAGCAGACCTCTCCTGTCTCGCCTGCTGCTCCCCTCAGCAGTGTATTTTAGTCAATCCACCTGTTCTGTTTCCTACTCTGTCTCTGGTGAATACTCTCTCTCTCTCTCGCTCTCTCTCTCTCTCTCTCTCACACACACACACACACACACACAACACACACACACCCCCCACACCTGGCCTGTACCCCAGCTCTTGTATGCATAAATCTTTAAAAAAATTTTTGAAACAATGAGAATGGGAATCACGAGACTGGCTGTGTCAGCTCTCGCTAGGATGCTCCACTATGTAGAAAATTAGGGTGTCTTGGGATCCCTGCTTCTCGGTACCCTTCCCCCAGGCAACAGCAGGGACCAGGGCTCCAAGCACATGGGTCACCTCAATGTAACCCAGGAAAAGAAATTTAAAAAGCCAGTCACTTGCCCAGGTGCAGGTGAGGACCCATTGGTCCTGTCTCCACAGGGTGGGTGGCCATTGTGTTCTCACTTCACGGGATCAAGCAGTTCAGTATCATAACTCATGTTTGCTTTACTTTGGGGACACCAACACCCCTCGTGAATAAAAATGAAATGCAGAGTGTGACCTAATATTAACTCAGGAAGAAATGGTAAGCTAGGGAAATATTTACTAAATACGCTACTTTTTTCTATGCTCCACGTCAGTCAGTAAATGCTGATTTATCCAGGTAACAAGGACAAGTAAGCTCTGGGCTCCAGGTTAAAAGGCAGAATTCCAAATCTAGCCTCAAAGCATCCAAACCCTGGAAGTCTACCATGTGCCATGTTGGATTTTCATCACAAAGCTAAAATGAGGTGAGTCTAAGACACTGCTTGAGTGGCCCTTACAGGGACCAGGCTGATAGCACATCAACAATTGGCACAGGGGGCCTCCCTGGTGGCGCAAGGGGTAAGTCTCAGCACTATGAAGCTGTCCACTGCTACTGTAGCACGAGTTCGATCCCCTGGCCAGCCAAGGAGCTGACCCACATGGCGCAGCAGGCCCTTCCTGTCTCGCTCGCTGCTCCCCTTGTTAGGGGGAAATGATGTCCTGAGCTAGCCCCATACAGGCTTTGTGGACCCCACCCCCACTCCAGACCAAAGCCATCAGGACATTGGGAAAGACAAATCCCGTCACCACCAAACGGAGGGTGGCTGGGACCTGAGGGTGGAGTTGGGCAGCCAGGTTGGGTATAAAAACCAAACACGTGGACCTTGGGGGGCTCGCTGTCACTCGCCTCCTGGCTTCACGGCTCCTGGCTCGCGGCCAGCTCTCAGAGCGCCATTTTGGGATTCCTGATCGGCGGATCGGGTAGGAGTCATTTAAAACTTTGTCTCCCACTTTTCCCCCTGAGCTGTACATTTCCTCATTTCCCTTCCCTTGTCAATAAACCTTTTATGAGCCTTTCGCGTGTGCCTGCAGTAGAGCATTCATAAGTCCTTTTAAGCGCGCGGGTGAGGACCCACAGTCAGGCACCCCGTTTTGTATCGGGGCTGCTCTACAACACCCTCAGCAGTGTATTTCACTCAATCTGCCTGCTCTGTTCCCCACTTTGTCTCTGGTGAATCCTCTCAGCCCCCATCTCTGGCCTGTACCCCAGTTCTTGTATGCGTACATAAATAAATCTTTAAAAAAATAATTGACACATATTTGAATCTAATACCTACCCCTTAACAAATGAGTTCAAGGTGCCATCTGACCGCACAGGTAAATTCTTGGCTCCCAGCACGACCAAGCAGAGCTGGCCATTCCCTGATGGCTGGTCTGTCCCTGGAGAGAAAAGTTGGCTTTTGAATCTGCTTCCAAACATTAGCAGGCAATGCCATCCCCCACCCCTCACAGAGAAGTCCTGATTGATCAGGACAGGACCCCAGAGAGCTGGCAGAATGGGGAGCGTGGCCAGCATGAGGCCCCAGGAAAATGGAAGCTGCAAAGGCAACAGGAAACCCAAGGAGAGGAAGGAGGCAGAAGCTGTAACCTAACGGTAGCGGTGGCTTTGAGAAAGTGGGGCCCCAAGGCCTCTGTTCAGGGGGGTTGGGATGACCATATCCCAGTACAGGCAACTGTACTAGGCACCGCTACCATTTGGGGTGAGCTCAGGCACCAAATAGGAAATCACTAAGCTCCACAGAAGAATTGCACGGACGCCCTGCTCCGGATCCCGCCTGCCCCTACCATCTCCTTAGGTTATTGAAGGTGGTTAAATTCCCTGTCAGGTCCTCAAGGACCTGTCCTTAGTGGGCTGTCTGGAAGGACAGTTGCCCACTGGCCCAGGAGCAGGAGCCATCCACTCAATGCCCTGCAGACCCTGGGGTCTGGACACGCGCTCTTGCTTCCTGAAAAGTCAAACTCCCAACTGCAGCTGGGGCTGTTCTTCAAGAGGTGTCCTAGGGGGCTGTTTTCTCCAGGAAGATCATCTGAGCTGGCCCCCTGGGAGGGAGGCCTCTGGGCTAGTGTCTGAAGAGCCCCATAAAGTGGGCATCAAAGACCTGGCCTGTTGGGGTGTCCGGTTCCCTTCCAGGTTGTGGGTTCGAGAGAATGGTTTCCAGGCTGGGCCTCACATCTCTTTTGAGGTACCGGAGCATGAGGCACCAGTGGGCAGCAGAGAGGAAATGCTAGGAAACACTCGCCCCGCCTCTCAGCCCACCTGCTGCCCCAAGCTTTTGGGGACAGTTGACGCACTGACAGACGCCTGGGGGCTGGCAGCCACCTACCTTCTTGAGCCTCCTGGGACTTCCTGGGCTCTTCCGGGATGACCAGTTTGGCCCTGACTGCAAGTTCTCCATTACTGGCAGGAAAAAATCTGTCTTCACATTTCTCTGCCTGGGGGAGGAGGTTGAACTCAGGAACAGAACCCTCCACACACACCCCTCATCCCTCAGCCCGCAAAGCCTCCGCAAGACCGCGCACGGCTCCAAAGACCTCCATTCCACTTGCAGCGACTCCAGCCCTCCCCAGCCCCACCGGGGGGAGGAGAAATAGCCCAGGCTCCAGCCTCCCACCGGGCCTCCCTGCCAGCGGAGGCAGTGAGCACGGGCCAAGGAGGCCCAAGCCCTGCACCTCCCACAGGACGGTTCTAAGACCTGGACACATCACAACCTGAGCTGGGGAAAGTAAATAAAACCAAACCCTCCATCCATTCCAAGACTGAGGCATCTTTCTGGGCCAGCGACGGCCTCAGGCACCCAAGAGGAAGGCCCCCGGGCTGGGGTCACCGGTGAGTGAAGCTGGGACTCAGATAGTGACGACCCTGTAATCAATCTCACCAAAGGGACAAGGGGGGTGTCAGGAAGCATCTAGACTCATTCAATCCCACCAGCAGCGAGGAGGAACAGCCTCCTGGGGGACTCCTGGGGGCTCAGCGGCCTCAGCACTGCCAACACTCCTTGGTCTCTTGGGGCAGGAGGCTAGTCCCTGGGTGCAAATGAGATAAGGTTGCCTCGACCCTTAGCTTCTAGAAACCCACACCAACCCCCAGGCCTGCAGAGGGAGCACCAGGGGTCATGATCTATAAGCCGGCTTATAGGGTCACCCTTTAGCCTGGTGCTTGCTGCTTCTCACGGCCTGCCAAAGAATGACCAGCCTTGGGGGTGGCCTGTCTTGTCCTGAATAAGGGATCCTGAGGGGGACATAGAGTGTCCCTAGTACAGAATCCCCAGGGAGACCACATCTGCCAGGAGCAATCAGAGAGGCCTTCATGGAGGAGGTGGAGTTTAAGCAAAGTCCTGGGCAGACTTGGACAGGTGCAAGCATTCCAAGTGAATATTCCCAGAGGCTTCTCAAGCCAGACCGCAGCTCAGAAGACGTAGGGAAGGTGGGGGAGAGGGACCCGCCGCACCAAGACAGATGACCTGTGGTGGCGCCTGCAGTGGCCCCGAAACCAGACATGTGTCCTAGCAGAGACCTGGTGAAGTGGAGCCTCCTGACCAGGGAGAGGCACACACTGGACTTGGCCCCCGATGGCGCTGGCCTGGCGCTGGACTCGTGTGCAGGGCTGGCTCTTGTCATCATGAGAGAGCGAAGGAGAGGATGGAGCCCGGGCTCCTCGTGTGAGTCCTCCCCAGCTTGGATCTCACACGCAATGTGCAAAGAGGGCATCCCAAGACGAGCTAGCCTTTCTCTCCAGCCTCCCTGCTTCACAGCCCATGAGTTCCTGAGCAGGCCAGCTCCTCCCCTCCAGTGCCCTGGGATGGCTGGGGCCAGTGAGCAGGAACATGAAATCCCCAGAGGTCACGACCTTCCCCCGGATAGCCATCAGGTCATCCTCCCCTGTCATTGCTTGGGAAGGCCTGGGGTGGGGTGAGAAGCAACAGGTCATACCTGCATGTCTGAGGTGGACTCAGCCTACTGGGAGGGTAGGGGAGGAAGACCTTGAATGGGGGGTGGGGGGAAGGACCCTAGGGGCAGCCCAGGAGGACTCACTGCTGGACCTGATCCTGAATGGGCTCCAGGTACACTGAGGCCAGGACTGCTGAACAAACCGGAGAAGAGAAAGGCCCTCAGCCCAGCCCACCAGGAGGGCCCACAGAGCCTCTGCCCCAGGCCAGCCCTATTTAAATGTCCCAGTGGGCCAGGGACAACCTCAGGCACCCAGGGCTTCCCTGGAAGGCGTCTCTTCCTCCATCCCTTTGAAGAGTGAGGTCAGCACTCATGATGGAGTTGGGGTCACTCAGTCTGAAACCAACATCACCTTGGCCCGGAGCGGATACCAGCAGAAAGACCGGGTCTGGCTGTCTTCGAAGTCCCACGTGTCCAGAGGAATGATCACTTCTCCAAGAAACACCCTCCGGGCGAGCGTGCCCAGGTGCCACACAGAGACCTGCAGGCGCCGGGCCGCCAGCTGGGCCGGCTCCACCTGGTACTGTGGGGGTAGAGAAAGCGGTCAGCCTGGGGTCCCGGGGCCACACCCCCAGACTGCAACTAGGCCCACCAGGGGTCACAGTGGGCCAGGCTGCTTGGAACCAGGGGCTCCCCCCATAAACACTGAACGTCCACACTCCCCAGTGCCAGTGCCCTGTGCCCTGCCCTGGGAAAGGCTGGCCATGCTGAGCCCCTTCCACTGTCAGGAGCAAAACACAGAGGAAAACCCTTGTGCCCCCAGGTCTCTTCGGAAATCCAGCTGAGCTCTGTCCCCACTTGGGGTCTGAATGCATCTGGCCCAGCTGTGCTCAGCCAGAGTTGACAAATGGCTGAAAGATTTTTAAACTGCAAAGCACACATTTTTAGCAATGGCATTTGCCTTGATGGACATGTGTGTGGTGGGCACGTGGTGGGTGCTGCCCCCAGAAGCTGTCCACACACACAGGAGGGTAAGAAAGCCTCCTCTCCCACCCCCAGCCCCGGGCTCCCTTCCTGAGACAAGTCAGGGCCCCGCCTCCACTCTGAGAGCTTCGTAGTTGGATTTTCTCAATAATGAGCAAAAGTTACAAGCTCTTACATGCTCGCTCCACGTCAGGGGTTTTAACTTTCACAAGCCTCCCACGAGGTCAGCTCACGACACTTGCCTCCCAACATTACAGGTGAGGCTCAGCAAGGGACGCCCCTTGGAGCCAAAGCCAGTGCAGGGCAACCAGGATCCACAGGGACCAAGGGGACCCCCAGTTCTTGCTGCTATTGCTTTGTCCCATGCTACTCCCACCCCAGCTTCTCTGGGGTCTGAATCCCGACTCCCCTGGGCACGAGGCTGTGTGCTTCTGGGCTGGCCTTGCATGGCCACTCGAAGCAGGTGGATTTGTGTTCCCTCCTCTCAACCACCCTGCACCCACCTTTCTGCTGGATGGAAGAGCTGGGAATACAGCATGAGCGGAGAACTGCCTCTTCCCTCCTCCCTCCCGGACACGGAGGCCCGCAGCCTGCCCTGGGTGAGCGCCGTGGAACCTGTCCAGGGCTCTGCCGACGCTCTGACATCCCCCACACAGATGTCCTCATGGCCAGACACCCGCCTCCCTCCTCTTCTTCCCCTGGGGGATTCATGCCGTCAGGGCCGGGTCTGGAGCCACGGCCCCTTTCTCCTGTGGTGGCTGGGTGGGCTCCGCCTGTTTTCCTCAAGCCCACAGTCCACTCGACTCTGTGGCCCCTAGTTCTCCACGCACACAGACACCAACTCCAGCTTAGCCCCTAAATCCCAACTCGAGGCGGTCCCACCCCAGCTCCGCCTGAACCACAAATCCTATTTCTTAGTGACAGAAACAGTGAAAACCCAAACAATTCCTCTCTCCATATTTTTCCACAGATAGCTACCTTTCCCCCTAATATGACAAGACACCTGGGCTGGCCAGCTGTGATGGTAAAGGCGCACTGGCACCAAGCTCTGATCAGTGGCTTCATGACAGGACTGTCCTCGAGAGTCCCCTCCATGCAGACATTCATCGGGACAGACCAGTCTCACAGTGACAGGCCGCCAGCCTCTCCTCCACCGTTTTCTCAGAAATCGTTCATCAGAAGCCATTCTCCAGACCAGCAGACACATCCCTTTTCCTGTACAAAGGCTGAAATCTATTTTCTGCGCCTGGCCATGGATCACCAGGGCCTCAGAAATGTCTGGGCATCTGCACTTATATTTAACTGACTCAAGAGTCCAGAAGGCCCCTGTGCTGGAGCGTGGCCCGGCCCGGCCGCGAGACACAGCACGGGAGTGTCTGTCCAGCACGTACCTTCAGGGTCTCCTGGAAGGCCGGGTCCACCGTGTTCTTCTGGACTCGGGTCTTGCGCTTGCCCTGGGAGGATCTGTCAGGCAGCAGATAGGTCTTGACGTACCTGGAAAGCAGACACACAGGACAGGACGCATGAAAGCTCAGGGCAGGGAGCTAAGGGCAGGGGAGGAAGAGACACACGTTGGCGTTTTCTTAATTCTGCTTTCCACTGATTTGGAGGTTGACGGAAGGGTTTTGTGGTCACTGTCCACAGGGACCGCGTCAGCGCTGCCTCTGCAGCCTCCAGTGGACACAGCCTTCGCAGCATCCCTTGGGAAGTTTCTGGGGGTGTTCTCTCCTGCCCTAGCCTGGAGTCTTCATGGCTCGCCACCTGCCTTTGCGTGACGATTATGGAACTCGAGGGTCTATAGGGAGTAGAGACTCTGCCCCACCTGGATGTAGGGCCAGGTGCCAGCCTGAATGCTTCACCTCCACCTGTCACTCCCGCCAGCCCACAGAAAAGGGGGGCAAATGCAAGTGCATGCCTCACCTTATTTTTCTCTTGTAGGGTCTCAAAGATTGTCCTCGAACTACTGAGGACCGACTCCCTGGGCCCTTACTGAGTCTGGGGGCCACACAGACATCGCCACCTGGACACTGCTACCTCCTCACCCCTGTTCTAGGCTGATCCCTCCACTCAGGTCCCCACATTGCTCTTCCTGGCTCCTCTGGCTGGGTCATTGGTGGCAAGGACCCCTGGCCACACCTCGTCCCCACAGGCTGGATACAGGCTCAGCTTTCTGCAGAGAAGAACCAAACCCTCCTTCCTTCGGGGGCCCTCCCAGGACCCCAACTCCCAGAGTCCCCCCTCTTGCTGTTCTGTCCTCCATTCCCACTCTCTCTTCAGTTAATACAATATTTTTATATATCATTTCCACTCCTCTCTTGGTATCTTCACTCTCCTTCACTGTCTTATTTTTTTAATGGTCCTTCTAGGGATTGCAACAGGCATTCCTAACTCACCAGATTACACTCTGCATCTATGGTAGGCAGGTCCCCCCATAACGTAAAAACCTTAAGGCAATATATTTCCATTTGTCCCCTCCTAGCCTCTGCGCTGCTGGAGTCAGAAGAGCGATAATGGGGTATTTCTGTCTTTTGCTGTTGGTTTCTATATGCTTTGTGGCTGCCCCCCCTTGGGACCCTGAATTTCTATCATCTGTTGTGTTTAGTTGTTCTTTGGTTTTTTGTTTTTTTGGTGGTGAAATGTGTAAATTCCTTTCTTATTTTCTTTTAGGTATCTTCTACAGCTCTTTTCTTTGTGGTTACCAAGGGGATTACATTTAACATCCTAAAGTTATAAAACTCAAATGTGAATTTACACTATCGTAACTTCACCAACATTCAAAATCTGCTCCTTTTCACTCCATCCTCACCTCTTACCATTACTGAGTTCACAAAAATCACATCTTTATACATTGTGTGACCCCAAAACACAAACTACTCTTTCCTTTTAAATGCATTAGTTTCTTAAATTATTTTTAACAATTATGTTACCATCCAAGTTACAATAATAATGAGACTAATAATTGTTTACATGTATTTGTCTCTTAAATTGCGTAAGAAAAAAAGCTTTTATAATTGCCTGCGTGTTTACCTTTGTTGAGACTTTACCTCTTCACACTTTGCATTACTGCCCGGGTCCTTTCATGTCACCCTGCAGGACTCCCTGAGTGCTTCTGACAGGAGAGGTCTAGCGGTGACCAATTCCTTCAGTTTTTATTTATCTGACAATGTCTCAATTTATCCCTTGTTTTTGAAGAACAGACTTGCTGGCAATGGGATTCTTAGTTGACAGTTTTTTTTCCTTTTAGCACTTTGAATCTATTGACCCACTGTGCTTTGGGGTTTAACGTTTCCAGTGAGAAATCTGCTGATAATCTTATTGATCCCTTGTATGCAACGAACCACTTCTCTCTGCTTACAAGATTCTCTTTGTCTTTCAAAAGTTTGTTTATAGTGTGTCTTGGTGTGAGTCTCTGCGTTCATCTTACTGAGAATTTGGTGGGCTCCTTTGATGTCTGTATTCATGTATTTCATCATTTTGGGAAGTTTTCAGCTATTATTTCTTCTTAAGTTTCCTCTTCCTCTCCACCCCTCCTCATCCTCCCCTCCTGTGCCTCCTTTTGGGACCCCATCATGCATGTGTTGTCCACTTGATGGTAACCTCAGCTTCCTTAATTTCTGTTTGCTTTTCTTCACCCTTTTTCCTATCTGTTCCTTAAACTCCACAATTTCCATTGTGCTATCTTCAAGTTCACTTTCTTCCACCTATTAATATTTGCTCTGTGTTAGCAATGAATTATCTCATATTAATCCTTCAGAACAATATCTAGAACATAATAGTCAGACTCTTGGTGCCTCTGTGATCATAAGCAGCAAATCAGAGACAAACACATGCTATTTGGATGGCAAATCCTTCTGCCCACCTTGGCCCCTGAAAGCTGTGTGCTCGCTTCTCCAGCAACATTCTGCATCTGCCTGCCAAGTGCTGGGTGGGGGGCGGGGGTGGAGACTTGCTCTTAGGCTAAGAACTGAAATTAACCCCATTATCATCCAAGACTTCCCATGGAAGTTTCAAAATTTCAATGGAGTCCAGAAGTCCCAAATAGTTACATGTGACAGATTCTGATAGTACAATTGCAGCCTGCATAAGGAGATGACTTCCTGATCCTTCCTACTCTGCCCTCTCCCTGGAATCCTCTCTGGATTATGTCCCCACACACACACTCTAAAAAGTGTTGGGTTTTACTCTAAGTGCCATTTCAATTCAGTTTGATCACATCAAGACTTGATTTTGTTTCATTAGAATGAATTAGAATAGCCCTAACTCTAGGTCTAGAGGTGTCCTACTACTAAGCTATAGTTTTTCTGTGATCCATTGAGTGACCTGGGTATCCAGCAAAGTCTCCACTCAGCCTGGTCAGCATCCCAATCTTTCCCAACACTGTGCAAATCTCAGATATTTTTTCTTCACTTCACCACTCCCCAGAAGTTCACCACCCTCTAAAAGTGACCCTCCAACAGATCTCATGAAGTCTTATCCTGATATGAGTGTCTGAGCATCGAGCAAAGTCAGAGGATCCCTATGAGGATTTTTAGACCTAATTTTCCATTTACTTCTCACCTCACTTGCTTTAGAATATTTGTTGAATGTCTATTACATTCTAGATATTGTTCTGAAGGATTAATATGAGATAGTTCAGGGAAACACTGCAATAATCCTTTGAAGTAGGTGCTATTATCATTCCCATTTTACAATGAGGAAAGAGATATGGCAGGTGGAGTGACTTCCCCACAGTCAAACAGTATACAGCATGGAGCCAGGGTTCACACATCCATACTCTCAACCATATCACTGAAGTCTCATTGAAAATTGCAGGAGACCAACAGATGGTCACGAGTTGGGTAAATACAATTGATGCAATTGGAGATGAATCTGAAGAATGGACAGGACTGATTTGTACTTATGGGAGGAGTATAGGAAAAGTCATCTCAACACAAACATGAGAAACATCTCACATTTAATAAAAGTTGGGGGTTAGTTTTGGAACAGTGTGACTATTCCAAATTTCTGGAGCCTCTGGGATAGGTAGGGGTACAACAGAAGTTAAATACTAAGAGGCTAGGGGGTGTCCTGTTAAGGGGCGCCATCATACTATAGCAATGATAACGATGCACTTAATTTCTCTGCAACTGAAGTTTGCAGAGCAGCAGAGTTTTATTGGCCCAACAATTCAGTCCTTCCCCCTAAATGGTACTTAAAAATTGTGCTGAAAGTTTTCCACTTAGGAAAAAAGAAAGGCAAAATGTGCTCCATACCTTGAGCAATACACAGAAAATCAATTCCGGTTCTAATATGAAAGAACCTGAGTGTGAAAAAACTATTAGAAGAAAATAGCAGAAAATGCATTTATAATTTTAGATGGAGTTTTTTTACAGATTAAAAAATCTGACATTTTAAAGGTAAAGATTATCAAATTCACCACAAGAAAAGTAACTGCTTGGAGAAACTATATAAGACACATATAATCAATGAAGAATCATATTCAAAATGGGGGGTTTTAAAAACCCAAGCTCCTATGAATAAATAAGAAAATGACCTCCCCCCAAAAAGCTAATAAAATAATCCAATAAGAAGGCTCCCAGGAGGGGAAGCCTGCATGGCTAGTGTTCATAAAAAAATCACTCACCTTTACTGATAACCAGGGAAATGCATACTAAAATAACATTAAGATACTGTCTCATATCTCTCAATGGGGCGGGGGTGGTGGTGGAATGTAATGTTATGGATTGTGTGAGACAGGATTTTAATCTCATTTTTTCCTATACAGAAAGTCAAATTTTCCAATACCCGTTACTGAAGTTCATCTTTTCCCCAGTGATTTTTAATCACCCTCTGTTAGTCTAAGTTCCCTCATCCGTTAAGGTCTCTGTATGTGGATTTTTGATTCTACTCTCCTGACCTGCTTACCTGGCCGTGGGTCAGTAGCACAGGGTGTGAATGAGTACAGTTCTAGAACAATATTGACATGTTCCTTGATGGTTGTTTAATATCGTTGTCTTGTTTATTCTTGAAGCTTTACTTTTCAACAGAAACTTTAGAATCAATATGTTTATCGTCTGAAGTCAACACACAAAAAGAAACTTACGGATTGCACTTTTTCTTCTTTTCTTCCCCATAGGCCAGGTTCCTACAGGCCTTGATGCAAATTTCTAAAGAACGGGTTTCGAAGCAATAACGAATGGCGAATTCTATTTCTCCACTGACATTAGCGTTGTCAAAATTGCCCATCTCTGTACAAGTGCTGTTAATGCTAATTAAACTCCCCTGAAACCAAGAACAACAGATATAATCAATGACTTCACAGTCAATCAATGTTTTCACAGTTCTGGTTGCAAGATATCAAATAAATCAAAATTCCCACAGAGCACGCATCTTGACTCACATTAAGTTAATAATGTACCAGCTTGTACTTGGCCAAAGTAAGTTGCCACACATTCTGTCCTAGGGTGAGGGGGGCTCCTCGGAAAGTCCTGTCTTGCCAGATATGGCTGTTGCCTAGCAATAAAGTTTGCACAACCTCATTCTGTACCACAAATCACTGGGGGTGAAACGGGTCATTTCCTGTGCAGTTTTGCAAAGGTATCTCTCACACGGGCAGGGATAGCCACGTGGAGAGCAGCACTGGGGGGCCAGGTGCCTGCCTGGGGAGCCGACGGAGTTGGACTCACACGCTGCTTCTGCCACTCAGAAGTCGTGTCAAAGTCTGAAGGGAAAGCTTAACATTGGTCTCAAGGGGTATGGCGAGGAGAGAATGAAACGACGCATGCACAGTGTGCAAAGACAGCAATGGATGGTGTTTAAATCTCTTCGCGTGTCTGAAATGAAAACCAGACCCAAGGTATTATGGGAGCTTCTTCTACTTGGCAGGGAAAGGAGAGTAGATTGGGTGCAGATAAGGGGCTGTCAATTTTGGTAGCAGAGGATTAGGGCATCCAAGCTGATTTATTTTTCGTTACAGTTGGAGGAAAGATGTATTTACTGAGAATGAGGAGGAAGGGGGGGGAAGCTTTGCAAAGAGGTTTAAAAACAATGACTGTTGTGGGTGCAGGAAACTGAGCTGCCCAGAGATACCCCAGGAGGACTGCTGGCTCTGTGGGGTGCCCCCACAGTAGAGCAATAGTGACCCCCACACACTCATATCGGACACCAGGTCTGCACACTGTGTGCACAGCTGTGCAGAGGCGGTTACGCAGGCTCATCCGACATGATGGCGAAGCACCAGGATTACTCAGTGTTCATTTTCTAAGATAAGCAGAGGTCAAGGCAGGTTGGGATCCATACGAAACCTGCTCAGCAAGTCAGAAGCAGCACTGGACGTGGACCTGGGCTAGTTCCTTGGGCCAGGAACGTACAGTCACGTCTCTGAGTAATTCCACTGCAATGTCCGCTCCGCCAGGAAGGTGCACCTTCAGATAATGGAAGGGCAGGGAGTGCATCCTTGGGCCCAGCACATTCCTTCTGCGATAGCCCTTGACCCAACCACCACTGCCCTGGGCAGGTTTCCTGAAGCAGCTCAGAACTCAGTCTGACTCTTAGTAGGGCTGGTGGCGCTGTCTGTGTTGGAAAGAAAAGCAAATCTCAGCAAAAGCAAAGAGAAACTACTGAAAGCAGCCTGGAGCCTTCCTGCCAGTGGCGTTCTCTGAAGGTCACAAAGTTATCTTACCAGAACAGGAACCCAGAATTTCTTCTATTTGACAAAGGAAGAAAGTGAAGAGTCGGGTGGACCCACAGTTATAGCCATAAACATCATCCTGGTCCCTAGGAGCCTGGGGGGGCAGGGTGTGGGTGTCCCTGTAGTGCAGCTAAGAGGCTGGGGTTGGGGGGGGGGTGCGGGTACAGCCTCCCAGCCCCGCCCGACACCTTGTGGCTGTGTGGGCTTTAGCAACATTCTAGTTCTCCTGCACCTCGTTTTCTCTTCTGTAAAATGGGATCAATTTTGTGGGATCGGTAAGAGACTTCATAACATGTGTAGGACTTTGAGCCCTGCCTAACGTGGTAAGTTCATCATTAACCTTCCAAAAATACAGCTGCAGGGTGCCCTTTGTAAGCTGAGCAAGGCATTTCTTTCTCCTTTTCCCCATTTTCTACTGTTAAATATGTAATATATTTTAAAAGCACAGTAGAGGGTTGGCACAGTAATGATTGTAGAGTGAAGATCCAACGTCTACCACTCAGCTTCAGTAAAATAACACAACAGCACCTCAAAGTGCCCAACCCCCGCCCCCCCATTTAATCCTCTCTCATTCTCACCCCTGAGGAAACTTGCTGTTTCAACATTTTCTGTTAATCATCCTTGCTTCTCCTTATGGCCTTATTACATGTGCCTCCCCACTCCTCACCCCCTACAGTGGTTAGTTCTGCTTGGTTTGCAGTTTACGTAACTAAAATGACGCTGCTCACAAATTCACATGTTCTTCTGTCACTAATTCCCCTGGGCATTACCTTGTTAAAAATTCATCTCTGCACCAGGCGTGGTTTTAGTTCACTCTGACACTCCTCATGTTCCTCTGGACAGAGGCCATAATATATTCATCCTTATTTTGACTCCAATTTTCAGTAAAAATGTATTCATGTGGGTAGGTAATGGCTCAATAGAACACTCAACAACAACAACAAAAAAATCCCTGCAGCCAGCATTGTTTGGGAGTCTTGGGCGGGCAGGGAGGCTTTTCAAAACTCAGTGCAGTCTGTGTGGTGGGCACGTGACATTTAAGGCAGTCCTTACTTAGAAGTGACCCAAAGGGGCCTCCCTGCTGGTGTGGGGGTTAAAGCCTCAGCACTATCAAACCATCACCAGCTACTGCAGCCTGAGTTCGATCCCCGGCCAGGGAGCTGACAAACAGGGCACAGCAGACCTCTCCTGTCTCGCCCACTGCTCCCCTCAGCAGTGTATCTCATTGGGCCCACACGTTTGGTTTTTATACCAAACCTGGCTGCTTAACTCCACCCTCAGGTCCCAGCCACCTTCCCTTTGGTGGTGACGGGATTTGTCTTTCCCAATGTCCTGATGGCTTTGGTCTGGAGTGGGGGTGGGGTCCACAAAGCCTGCATGGGATTAGCTCAGGACAGCCTTTCCCCCTAACAGATCCACCTGCTCTGCTCTCTACTCTATCTCTGGTGCATCCTCTCACCCCAGCACCTCTGGCCTACACCCCAGTTCTTGTATGCGTAAATAAATACATCTTTAAAAAAAAAAAGTGACCTAAAGTCTACTCCAAAGTCCCACACTGCGCATTTATGTTTTATCTATAAGGCGCCTGCAGCCTCACACCTTTTTTTTTTTTTAATATTTATTTATTTATTTATACAAGCACTAGGTACAGTCAGAAGCACGGGAGGGTGAGAGGATTCACCAGAGACAGAGTGGGAAGCAGAACAGGCAGACTGACGAAGTACACTGCTGAGGGGAGCAGCGGGCGGCAGGAGAGGTCTGCGCGCCATGTGGGACCCTTGCCAGCAGCTGGGGATCAAACCGGCGCTGCAGTGGCTGCGGGCAGCTTCGCAACCCAGCGCTCAACCACTGAGCCACCAGGGAGGCCCCTCACATCATTTTTTAATGGCCATTTTTTTTAATTTGTTAAAATGCCCTAAATTGTGCTTGATTCAATGTTGCGCTGATGGAGCGACTTGGAAGGCTGAGTGTTTCTCCCTATTTATTGTCCATTTGTAATTCTCCTTTTGTAATAAGTAGAGACTTAATAAGCTTTGTCTAGCCCAACTTTCTGTTTTTCAGAGAAGGTAACTGTCCCTTACTTGAGGAGGCTAATCTCTGGGCAAGAAGCAATAATCAGTTCTTAGCTTGGTGGGTTTAATCTCCTCTGTGTCAGTCTTAAGAGAACTGGTTGGGGTTAAACACACTTTAATAGTTGATATCAGGATGATGGATTTTAAGGGCACAAATCTGAGGAGACTTTAGAAGAAAGGGAGAATAGAGAGCCTTCTGGAATCTGCACAGTGGTTGGAGGAGCTATCTTAAGAAAGGTAAAGTGAATGAAATGAACACACACCCACCTTCAAACCGTCACCCCGAACTCTATCACCCCCAACTCTACCATGCCCCAACTCCATCATCTTCCAACTCCATCATCCTCCCACTCTGTCACCCCCAACTCTACCATCCCCCAACTCCATCACGCTCCAGCTCTACCATCCCACAACTCCACCATCCCACAACTCCACCCCACCCCAATTCCATCACTCCTGGACTTCTCCATCCCAACTCTTAAAGGTTTTCCAGGTGGGTCTGTCCCGAGTGGGTGAAGCTGACCCAAGGGTGGGGTCAGGAAGACCTCTCAGTTAAGAGTTCAGTAAACCCACTGGCACAGTGCAGAGACTCCCGGGACACCTGGGTTTGGACTCACTGCTTGGACTCCCGGGACACCTGGGTTTAATCAAGATCCTGTAGCAACACGTGACCTGAACAAGCCACTTCACCTCTGTGAATCGCAGTCTCCCCCTTTGTTAAATGGGATAATCACATGTACCTGCCAAGGTGGTGCCAACGATGAAGAAATGAAGCACCCAGCCCAGTAGTGAGCACATAGTAGGACTTCAATAAAGGATTTATGCAGTAATTCCATAAGCATTTACTGAGTGTTATTTCTGTGTCAGGCACTGCTCTGGGCACTGAGAAACTACAATAGATAATAAACAATAGATAAGCCAATCTCAGAGCTGTGATAAGCATATGGATAAACAGAGCAGGGGAGGTGGGGGGGGGCAGAGGGCAGAGGGCAGACCTCTTGAGAAGGTGACCTTAGAGCAAAGGCTTGAAGGAAGGGCATGCAGGAGCCTGGAGTGGGGCTGCGGCAATGCCCCAGGGAGCCTGTGCCTGCGAGGCTGAGGGCGTGCAGGCAGGGGCAGGCCAGTGGATGAGGCTGAGGATCGGGGTCAGTGGGCCAGGACTCTCCAACAATTGTCAGTGGATCTAAACCCATGTCCTTCACTGTGATGGTTTCTAGGCACACACAACATGAAGGAATTTGGTGTTTCATCTTGTGGCGACCCTGGGCAGCTCTGGGAAAACTGCCCCGGGGATGGGCTTTCTTGGAAGGCTGAGCCTCATCCTCCCAGACCAGCCTCCTAAAGGATCCTACTGGATGGATTCCTGGGTCCTTGCGTCACCTGGGGGAGGGGCAAACTCTGGGTAAACCTTGGAAAAGCCTCCCAAAGGCCACTCCTAAATTCTCCCTGTATCTTAGCCATCACAGGGTTCAACCCTAGGAGAGAATGTTTTGGAGTGGCCCTCAACCCCCTCCCTTGCCCTCAGTGCTTTCACCTTATAAACCCTTTTCAGGTATAAACAACACCCTCTGCCTCGAGCCCACTGAGCTTGCTTGGCGGGACCATCCCAGAACTTCAACCATGGTCTCCTGAACGAAATGGCCCCCAAGGAGGCGGGGGCAGGCCCTCGGTGATCAGGCTAGGCTACAGTCCACTGTGTTCAGGGAGATGGCTACTCTCAGCAGAGTGTTATAAGTTGCACCCACCCCCCAGTCCCCAGCCTCTAGAGGGCTGTGTGACCCACATTTGCCTTTAAGAACGGAATCCTGACACTTGACCAGTTTGGGTGCACAGACCTGTTTGAGAACTGAACAAAAACAGGAGTCTTCCCAGGAAGGAGCACAGAGGCACAGGACACATTTCAGATGCTGTCCAGAGAGCAGCAGCTGCTCTGTAACTCACAATCACAGATCCAGACCACAGCCATCCGAGAGAAATAGAATGTGAGCCAAACACGGAATCTATTTCTCCAGTGGCCACATTTAAAAATCAGACAAAATTTGGCCTCCCTGGTGATCTAGGGGTTGAGTCTCAGCACTGTCACCACTACAGCCTGAGATCGATCACTGGCCAGGGAGCTACCCACATGGCACGACAGACCTCTCCTTTCTGCCCACTGCTCCCCTCAGCAGTGTATTTCAGTGGATCCACCTGTTCTGCTCCCTACTCTGTCTCTGGTGAATCCTCTCACCCCCTGCACCTCTGGCCTGTACTCCAGCGCTTGTATGCATAAATAAATAAATCTAAAAAAAAAATCAGACAAAATTAACTATCAGACAGCACAATCCTAGATTATTAAAGAATCTTCAGCAAATGGCCTACTTTACTCAAGTGTGAAACAGCTAAGGCTCAATCAGTGTTTCCCAAATGTCACTGTGTTGTGTATCTCCCAAGGCTCTTGTTAAATTTCAGATTCTGACCCAGTAGGTCTGGGATGGGGCCAGAGGGTCACACTTTCTGATAAGCTCCCAGGTGATGCCAGTGCTGCAGGACCCCATATTTCAGGTGGAGGGGGCGCAAGGCAGTGGGATCACCTGCAGGAGCCAACGAAGGTGGCTGCATGTAGGGGGTCATGAGTTAGGGTATTAGTTTTCCTCCAAAGCACATGTTTGACTGCTTCTGACACAAGTTTTAGAAGTACCAGTGGACATTCATGTCAAGGGAGGGAGAGTTCATCATTTTCCATAAAAACACAACCACCCCAAAGCACAGAAAGGGTCAACAACTTGCTGCTAATGAAACTGGAACATGAACCAAGAGGCTGGTTTCTAGAAGCTGAGTCCTCATCTACTATATCTACTCCATGGAATCTGGACATTCATTTGATACTCAGAGAAATCTCATGACATCAAAAGAATAACGCTGATGCTCATGGCCTTGTCGGTCACTCTGAAGTTCACAGTTGTTGTGATTGTCTAAGTCATTGAATTTAGTTAAAGACTCTAATTAAAAAACCGTGTCCCCCCATCCAAGGCTCTATCGCATACCACGTATCACAATTTTAGGCATAGAGTAGTCATTCATTTAATGTTATTGAATAAACGAATGAATGAATAAAGAGACCTGCCTATAAACAAACACTATGTTTAAAACATCACAAAGAATCTTGACAAATAGAGCAAAGTTAAAGGACTTACATTATCTGATTTTAAGACTTCCTACAAAGCTACAGTAATCAAAACAGTGTGGCATAGGATAGACAGATCTGCAGAGCAGAACCACGCACCCAGAAAAAGACCCCATCTTTGAGTTGTAATCATTTTATTTCCAATAAAGACACCAAATTCAAAGGAAAAATGAATATGGGTATCCATATGGAAAAAACTAAACCTTAGCCACTACCTTATACCATTTCCCCCAAAATTAATGAGCTGGAACATAGACCTACACATAAAAGCCAAATTTTTATAAAGCTTCTGAAGAAGAAACAGACAACTACTTTCATGAGTTATGAGTACACAGAACACTAAATAACCATAAAAGAGAAATTTCAAAATTAAAAATTTCTCATCCAAAGATACCATTATTTTATAGTTAATTGCTATTAATGTTACATGAAAACATTCATGATAAGATATATAAGAAAGAGACCACCATCAAAGTATAGCCAGATCCCCCAGTTTTCAATCTATGCCACCCTTGCCCACCCATCCAATTCGATGTCATGATACTAACCACACATTGTATATCAAAAGCATTAGGTGAGACTCACATGTCTCAAGCCTCCTGAGAATAAAGTGTTGGACACTGGACTGGATGAGAGATCCTCTGGCTTCAAAACAGGGCTGGTAGGGCGTTTGGGACTCTCTGGATTGACAGGCTGCAGAATGGCTGGTGCACTAACCTTCTGTAAAAGGAAATACAGAGTTAATAATATAGTCTGCATTCCAGCATGACTGTGTTCAAGTGTGGTGACTTTGACAAACATGGCCTGCATCCCTGTGTGACCTGGTGGCACCAATGTACAGGCTCTTGGATGCTGGGCACACTCCTTTTGGATAATTGCGCATGCACATGCACACAGTAGTGGGATCCCGAGGCAGACACCATCAAATGTATTTCATGAGCAGTGATGGGGCGGGAGGGGGAAGGTTACCTACAGATTAGTAAAATCTTAAAGAAATTGAAGTCTGTATTTTGAGTTTGATAATGATGCTGGCATTTCATCATATAAAATGTAATATTTAGCCTGGTAGGCAGAATTTTAGTTCTAATGTACACATGAGAAAAGGAATAAAATCAAAATATGTGCTTAAATTTTATACAAATTCTGTTAGTAGTTGGTACTTCTATAGTGTTTACAGCTGTACTTCCCAATATGGTACCCGTTAACCTTGTGGGGCTATTTCAATTTAAATTGCAATTTATTAAAAACAAATATAGTTAATTCCAAGTGTTCAGTAGCCATGTGTGGCAGTAGCTAGAAAATTCTATTGGACAATGCTATTCTAGATCGATAAACACAATAGAAAATTTCTTTCCAGTTAATAACACAAAGTTTGCAAATCGAGACCTTAGGTTTTGATGTTGGCTTGCAGAATTTGGAAACTCAAGAATAGTCCTCTCGGGCCTCCCCGGTGGCGCAGCGGTTGAGCGCTGGGTTGCGAAGCTGCGCGCGGCCTCTGCGGCGCCGGTTCGATCCCCGGCTGCTCCCCGGCCACCAGAGGAGGGTCCCACATGGCGCGCAGACCTCTCCTGCCGCCCGCTGCTCCCCTCAGCAGTGTACTTCGGTCCTTCCGCCTGCTCTGCTCCCCGCTCTGGCTCTGGTGAATTCTCTCGCCCTCCCGCGCTTCTGACTATACCCAGTGCATGTATCAAATAAATAAAAAGCATGCCTCTATAAAAAATAAATAAATAAATAAATAAATAAATAAAAAAAAAAAGAATAGTCCTCTCGTCCTGATTTCCAGGAATAAAAAACCAAGACTATTAGAGGAAAAGTGAAAGAACTGGTTACCTCTAAATTATCTTACGTGTTCATCCCTAGAACATCAACTCAGTTCCACTAGGTATTTGTCAAGCAACACTCTCCTTGCCTGCCACTCTAGGTGCTGGGCTGGGGAGATGAGAGCAGCAAGGGAGAGAGTGCTGAGGGTGGAGGAGGGAAGGGGAGGGAGAGCTCTGGAGAATCCGCTACCAATTAGGAGACGGACACTCCATCAAACAGAGATCCAGCAAGTCAAAGAGGAGAGGCACAGCTCGCACTGATGGCAGCACCCGGGGGTCTCAGTGGGAGTGTGAGCTGAGTGGGGGTGAGAGGGTGGCTGGGCAGAGACCCCGGTTGAGCGACAGTGCTCTGGTCAGGTCCGGAGGGTGCTCCTGCACCAGAGGTAGGTGTGAGCCACAGACCCTCAAGAGACCAGCAGAGAAACCAGCCACAAGTTCAAGAGCACACAGTGCGGAGTGGGATTGTCCAGACAGTGGAGGAGACAGAGGACTGAAAGGGCCAGGGAGGAAGAGGGGAATTCAAGAATGGAGAGTGCTCCCAAAGGAGAAGCGAGCACCACCCGCTCGTCTGAAATGAGAGCTGATGCAAGCTTTTTAAACCGCCTGTCAAATCAGCACAGCAAAACAGAACATATAACGTTCAGGGCTGGCGGGAAAGCTGGAAAGGGGCTGCTCCGCTTCTGGCGGTATAAACTGAGTCACCTAGCGGAGGGCAACTTGGCAACACAAATTACAGCCCTCAAATGTAGCCATTAGAAACAGCAAAACGCATTTACAAATGTGAAAAATTTCAAGCCAGTCACAGGGGTTGTGGTAGGATGAGCTGCCGTGGAAGGCAAGATTGCGGGGTCTCCATGGGGCTCCCCCGTGGGCAACACTGCACCCCACTTCCCTCCTCCTTTTCCTCCTCTTGTCCATGTTTTCTGAATTGTCACTAGCGTGCAGGCACAGATTTTATTATACAGGAGAGCAACATGTCCTTTTTTAAATTAAGGAAACCAACGCAGTTCTGATGGACGGTGTCATCAGCACAGCTTGATGGGGAAGACTCCAGAAGCTGCTGCTTTTTGTTTTTTTATTTTATTTTTTGCTGACAGCTGCCTATGGGAGCAGTTACTTTGCCCTATTCTCTTTAGGGCTGTTTCCAAGTTTTGGGTATTTCGAGAGTTAAAAAGCTTTCTATCATTTGAATTTGCAACCTTTCAACGCTCAACTGCGGTTGAATGTGTTTGAGTTTTGACTGGTCTTTCTGTTTTCTCTTTTGAATGTTATTTATCTTTGCTATCTGCCAGGGTGTCCTTATCAGAATCACAGCTACTCCCAGCAGTGTCAGGTCACGCACACGCGTTCTCATTCCTTTCTCTTTCCTTCGTTCTTAGAGATTGAGAAAGCGATTTTGACATTTGATTTATATATGGGAACGGTATTGTGGATGACTAAACAGGACAACGGCAGAACAACTCACTGCTGGCTTCGGACAGTTAAATAGCTCCACCCTTCTCCAATTTGAAGTGGCAGGCTGAATCTTTAAACTTTGCCTATTTTTTTAGTTATTCTTAGGCACCAGGAAATGGCCCAGATGTTTTCACTTTTCAGGGTGGCAGCGCTTGCATTCTCCCCTAGGGCCCTAGTCCCTGAGGATGTCTGCGACCCTTGAGGTCCGCTCCTGCCGTGCCTGCCCCCCCTGGGTTCCTCTCTTCCCTGGGGTCTGATCTCCCAGGCCCCCGCCCCAATGGACGCGCCAGTGGCTGGTGTGGAGCATCCTCAGTCACGCTGTCGCTTTTGACACCGTCCACCCTAACTCCGCTGGTTTCCTTAATTTAAAAAAGGACATATTGCTCGCCTGTATAATAAAATCTGTGCCTGCACGCTAGTGACAATTCAGAAAACATGGACAAGAGGAGGAGAAGGAGGAGGGAAGTGGGGTGCAGTGTTGCCCACAGGGGAGCCCCATGGAAACCCCGCAATCTTGCCTTCCTGGCAGCTCATGCTACCACAACCCCTGTGATTGGGGACTATTGGGAGGTCGAAGCGAAATGGTCTCAGAGGAGAGTGAGAAGGGAAGTGCTGAGGTGCGTGGCAGGGGGCTCGCCTGGGAAGGAAGGTCCACTTGTGAGACAGGAGGAGGAACTAGCAACCAAGAGAAACCCTTCAACCTTCGGAGCAGGGTCAGGGAGGGTCCTGCCAAACGCGGAAGATTCCACGTGGAACCGTGTGTGAGGACATGAAACCAAACAGCAATATGAGGCCTGCTGCCTCCTATGTGCTCAGCACAGAATCATTCAGCTAGTCTTCTTGAAGGCAATGTGGCTTGTGAATCATAACAAAATTGATGACAGAATGTTCTGAAAAGGAACAGAGAGAGTGATCTTTATCACAGCAGTCACATGGCGTGGCCAGCTTGCAGCTAGGGAAAACTGTACTTTTAAATATTTCAGGACCCTGGCAAAGCGTGAACGGGCTTAAATGCAAGTATAAATATTTTAAAATGATTCGAAGTTGATACCATTCTGAAGAACATGCCTAGTTTAATGGACTAAGCCCAATTCCAAGTTTTGTGTTTAGCTCTTCCCGTAAGGAGGCCTTCCCAGAGGACTTGGTCTCAACGTCCTGTTCCTGGACATCAAGGCCCAGACAGCCTGCCATGATTGAGAAGGGCCATTTTCCCCGGTATTCCAGTCACTAGTTTGGGCCAGATTGCAGAGAAAAGGCTTTGCCCTGAATGAGGTCATTCAGTTGAATGTTACAGGCTGACAGGTCAATAAGCACCGGATTTGCCTTCATCAATATGGACTCTGTGGCCCCACACACTGTGTGACTTTCTGGTTTTGTTGGCCTCAGAAAAGAAAAAGAACATAGGAAATGAGAAGGAAGAGCCACCACCGCTGCCTCTGGAATCCACCTGAGGGTTGCCTTATAGCAAAAACTGACTTGGGTATCAAGTCAGAGAAAGATTTAGAGGGTTTGGCCAATAATACTGCCTCTGAGCAGATTAAATTCCAGCTGAAAAGCAGAAGCTGCTCCCACCTTCCCTGGAAAGATCAGCTGCCCTCAACCTTAGTGTTTGGACAACCGGACCCCAACGCCCTTGCCTCCTCCTCCACTCAGCCTCTGAGATGCGCCCAGCAGGTAGAGAGGGAGAGAAGATGCAGCAGGCGAGCCAGGCCCCCGGTGGTCGGCTGCTTTTGGGTTTCAGGCCCCCGGGCAAACAGCATAGCACAAGGGGCTGACAATGACAGTTTCCCTCCCTGCCTCTGTCCTCAGGCGCTGGACTCAGAGCTAGCCCTTTCCAAGAGCTTTTTCTGTTTCCTTCCTGCTTAACAGGTGTGCGCGTGTTTATAGGTAACATAGATTAACCACGCATTAATAAATAGCAGAATAAAGTCCTGTGGAATGCCCATGAAATGTCAGAGGAAGAATTCTCTGGAAGAGTCTGGCCCCAATGCCCAAACTGAGGGTCTTTGCAAGGGCATTTTTAGAACCCATGGCTCAGATCCAATGGTCAGAGAAGGGAGCTGGCAGCACCTCGAGCTGCTTCCTCAGCTGACCTCCCAGGGTCACCATGTGGCTCTAAGGAGCTCACCTGCTGCTGCTGTGCCGTCCCGCAGCCACCTGCAAGAGGGCACCGCATGAGGGAGCCATGGCCAGATGCCACGAAGGCCCCAGTGCAAGTGCACCCGCCACTTTGCGAGCTCCCCAGCAAGGCCCGTGGGGTTGCAGGCTGACAAACGTCCTGCTTAAAGGTGTCCTCCTGAGGGTCCAACCCCACAGTTACTTAGCATTTATAGGTCAGGCCTTGATGGCCATATAAACACAGCACTGCACGACTCCTCAAAACATGCCAGGTGGGGTACGGAGACGATGCGACCCCAAGCTACAGGCTTGTCCTGGAGGTACGTGCAGTGATGGGGACAGAGGGGGCGCACCCACACGGCGGGGCTTTCACAAGCGCCCCTCCCCATTCCTCTTCACACCCCCCCTTGGCTCCATCGGCCCAGCAGGCACCGCTCTTAGTTCGTAGGCACACACAGTGGGGGTCGTGAGTGCCTCTAGGAATCAGGGAGGCTGCCCAGAGGGTGTCGTGGGGGACCTGGGGAGCCCAGGGAAGGACATGCTGAAGTTCTGAGGGTCAGAGACCTTCCAAGGACATTTCACACACTCTGGACGCTTGACCCAGAGGTACATACGCGCCTCAGTGTCCCCTGCCCACCCAGGAGCCCCTTAGCATTTGAGATTCTGCATCTCCCACCCAGAGCCACACACGCAAAATCTGCATTTCCACCACACCCCAGTGACACAGTGAAGTGGAGACTCCAGGCTTCAGGGCTCAGCCTCCCAACCAAGCCTGCCCACCATGCTCCCGTTACAGAGCCAGGGGCATTGACTTGATTTCCCTAAGCCTCAGTTTCCCTACCTGGAAAATAGGCCAAATGCAAATACCAAGCTTAACAGTTATGAGGACAGCAGGAGATAGTGCAGGTGAAGCTTTTAGTACAGAGCCTGGCACATCACAGAGATGCTGGCAATTTAGATACCCTAATTTGATAATTTAATGGGGGGCAGGTGTCCTTACAAGAACCCTCAGCAGACCAGTTTATGTTCTCCTTTCACGGGGTAGGGTGGAGGTGCTTCCTGAGGAATTCCCCTCCACCCCGTGACATGCCCAAGCTATGGGCAGTGGGTAGGTGGGTGAAAGCAAGATTTGAAATCCTGAGAGTGTGGACATCCCAGCAGGAGGGTCCTGAGCAGAGCCCACACTTGCAGACAAGGGACCCCGTCACGTCCTGCCAGCCAGGCCGTCACACGGACAAGCAGCAGCCAGGGGACAGTCCCTGCAAGGCCAGGTCACCTCAGTGGGGCTGGAGGCCAGGCTCTCTGATTCTAAGTTCTGGTTCTCGCACCCCCACCCCCAGGGCAGCTACTCAGGCTTGGTTCACCCTTGTGGAAAGCCAGAGTAAGCAGCGCCCTAAACACCTTCATCAGGGGGGCTCTAGACACCCAGAGAGTCTCCCTCAGGAATTGGGGGGTCATGCAGCACTTATGAGTTCAGTAGTTTCGGTCAGAGACCAGGACCCACGGCGCCCAAGGCTGCGCGAGTGGAAAGCAGGACAGCCTCTCGCTCCCCAGATGGGTCTTCACAGACCCTGGGAAGAACTTGGTCCATCTGGGGCTCAGGGAGCCTTTGACCTTTGATATGACCTTGAAGCTATCGGGGAGCTCAGGAGGACACACAGAAGCCCCAGGGACTCCAAAGGAAGCTGGGGTCTTTCCTGCTCTGACAGTTTCCCAAATCAATCTTAAATTCTGACCTTCCCTTGGCCAGGCCTCCCGACCTTCGGGGCTTGATCTTTAGGCTTTCAGCTGCTTTGGATTTTGCTATAAAAGGGAAAGTAAATCTACAGAGAAGACAGGCTAGAGGCAAGCTTGTGGCGGCCAGGCGGCCCCGGGGAGTACCCTGGTGGAGACGTTGATGGCAGTGTCCGACAGGCTCCGTCTGTCCGTCTGGCCTGCACACCGCCCGGAGCCCGCAGCTCGGAGTTGCTTGTCAGAGGTCATGTCATTCTGGGACTTGGAGAGTTCTAGAAAATAAATGCAAGGATGACAGGTGGGAACACACAGCTCCAGGGAGCCAGGGGCACCAGCTCCAAGGTTCCCTGCAACCAGGCAGGAAGGAGCTTGGGGGCACGGGGACTGTCCCAGATGCAGGGGATGGGGGACATAGCCAGGTCCCTCAAATATAAGTCTGTGGCCACCGATGGCAGAACCATCAGGACAGAGTTAAGGGCGCCTCCTCCGGCCAGGCTGCTCTGCTCTGGGGGCCCCCCACCTCCCTCATGTCCCCTCACCAGTAGCAATGGGCTGCCCAACAAACCACCAGCTTCCTTGGCAGTGCTCGTAACAATTTCATAACTAAATACCATTTCTTGTGCCTCTTTGAAGAGAGGTAAAGTAAAATTTGGGGTCTAATGACTTAAGTTAACCTTGAAAATTTCCCTTGAATTTGAATTATTTCAAATTTTCTAGTAGCCACATTTAAAAGGGTAAAAGAAAAGGTAAAATTTTAACACTATTTTATTTAACATAATACATCTTAAATATTGTTAAAATAGAAACTTGCTCTTAAAATTGCTAATGTAATTTTTTTTACTGTTTCTAGGCCAAACCTTTGGAATCTGATGTGTTTTCATTCAGAGCAGCCCATTGTAAGACCCCTCTGCGGTTAGGGTGACCCTACTGGACAGCCCAGTCGGGGCACCCCTCTCTCTTCATCACCCCTTGAACTCTTATTCTTTGCTCTTATTTGCTGTGCCTCTATCTCCTGCACAGTGGGTCTGCAAAGGCCTCATTTTTCTAGACAGGACCCTGCAAGGCACCCCCAAGAGCCCAGGGCACTCACTTTCCCACCAGGATGTTGGGCCCTCACTACCATCCATACTGTTCTCAAGTCTACTGTGCAAACTTTGGGGCATCTCTCAGTGTCCAGCAGCCAGAGGGGTGTGAGCACACACCAGGTCCTCTGAGGTGGTGAACACGCAAACTATGGCCACACCCCAGCCTGGGTGGCTGTGGCAGGCAGAGCAGCTGGAAGCAGCCCTTGCCCCTGCCATGGCTCACTGTGCACCCCAAAGCCCGGGCTCCGTCTGCTCCATTTATGTTCACAGACAGGTGACAAGCCTCACTGAGGCATTCGGGCTCTGCCAAGCAACCTGCAATGGGCACTGCAGGATGCAGAGGGACAGGAAGAGCCCGACGCAGAGGCAGGTGTGAGGCAGGACGCGATTGGTCTCACTTCCTCCTCCTTCCAAGGGGCAGTCATGCTGAAATCTGGAAATGCAGCGACAGTGCCCAGAACAGCCCACTTCTCCCGCTGACCTGGCTCCACTGGAACCCCAGCAGCCGGAGGTCGGATTTGGGGTCCGCTCCCGAAACCACCCAGCCTTTCCCTGCAGACCTCAGGGCAATCCTGGTTCCCCCTTCTGCAGGGCCCAGGCAGCAAAGAAGATGACAGGGACACAGACAAAACAGCTCAAGACCTGAAGACACGAGAATCAGCCCTGAGAAGCCTGTGTCCCTCGCAGGCAGGATGTGGGTGTGGGGACGGGAGGAGACGGGCGGGATGGGCCTGCAGAAAGGGAGCAAGCACCCAGGAAAGGGCTTGGCACGGCGCCCCTCCCAGGAGAGGGGCTCCTGTGCTGAACCTGTGAGGCGGTGGCACCTGGTCAGGCCGGGAGGGGGCGCAGGTGGCGGGTTTCAGCTGGTGTCCCGAGGAAGAGGTCACTGCTCTGCTCTCGGATGCCCTGTGCTGATGACACTGTGACCGTGCCTATTGAATGGGCACGTCTCAGACATGAGCATGTGCAGGGGCAGCTTTGGGGTCAAGCATCCTGAGCATGCCCATCTGTGGCCGCGTCCCAGCGCACGTCAGTGGGACAAGATGCAACATATTCCTGCCTTGGTCAGAGTTACAACCCCTGCGTGAGTGCAGAGTGGCAGCAGGGGGCAGGGAGCACATTAACCAGGGTTTGGGCAGAGGCAGCGCTTCTGGAAAGAGACACGGAGACATTCCCATAAGAAGAGTGTCCGTTTGAAGAGAGCCAGCTGCCCAGAGCTGGCGCCGCTACATCAGCCAGCTCCCAGACTGAGGCCAGAGGGTGGCAGTCATCCCAGACCCCAGCGGAACAAAGGGTGAATTTTAAATTTGCAGGTTGCATGAGCAAAGGGGCAGTGTAGAGTCTGCTGCTCCCCCTTCTGAAGCAGAGGGGCCAGACTCCCGTGATTTCATTGCTTTTCTGAAAAATGGTGCTTTGATTTCCGTGGCCGTCATGCCACAGCTCAGAGGAGGCTCGTGGGAGTGGGGGGCAACACCCACCAAACACAACTGTCTCAGAGGCAGGCACAGGGTCAAGACAATCTACAGCCACTGCAGGCGTGATGGGGAGGAGCCTGAGGGAAACAGAGAGGGGACCCTGAGGACTCGGGTCCCTGGGGACCCCCCTCCATGCCTGGGCTGCTAGGGGCACCTCAGAGGGCTGTTCTCACAGACATGCATTTTAAGAGAAATAGGTAACGAATATCTGAGGAGAAAGAAAGAGACCAGATTCGAAGCCTTGATAGTTCTGGGCTCTGCATGTCTGCAGACTGCATGGTTCCTGCTGGTTGAGTCAGTTTACTGAGAGGAGGCAGAGACAAGAGTTCTATGCACATGGCAGGTACTGGCCCCAGTCAGGCCCAGAAGTTCTGGATTCTGAGTCACTGGAATCGCATCACTGATCTAGTGGCAATGTCTGTGCCCAGTTCCCCTCCTCAGGAGCAGAGCCAGGTGGGTGTGGGCTGGATGGAGTGGCCAGAGCCAGTCAGGAGACTAAGGGGACTCCTCCCGTCCCAGGGAATCTACCTGCTCTGCAGGGGGAGGGGCAGAGGTGTTCCCCAGGAGCCAGAGACAGAGGGAGCAGCCCTCTTGCCAGCGCCTTGGCCAGGGGGCTTGGCCAGCCCGGCGGTAGTGGGACGGGCACATGGAAGGGGATCCACTTACTTTTCATGTGGGTGGTAACAGACAGAAACAAATTTTCCAAGGACTTATTAAATCCTTTAAACTGACCAAGTTCCTGCAACTAAAACAGAAACAGAAGGAGAGAGAATGAGAATTATGTTTGAGGACCTGTGTTTGCCCCAGGCTGGCAATCCCCAAACCCTGGCCCATGAGTGCAAGTGTGTGTGTGCCGGCATGGGTGCGAGGGGCCAGGGCGCCTGTGGGTGTGTGTGCAGGCGTGTCTGCAGGGCAGAGGGCACCATCCTCTCAAGAGGTAGGGATCCTCTTGACTTGGCATTTCTCCTTGAGTTATTAAAGGAAGGGCTGTCACCCACGATTTCTGACAAGGTAACAACCACCTGCTAGAAATAATAACTGACGTTTCATTGGCTCAAAGATTGTACACAAGTAAATTATTGCTTTCATGACCTTTCTCTCATGGCCCCACCCAACTCTACACCGAGGAGACAGCAACACGAGCAGAACACCCGTGACTCAGCAGCTGAGACCACAACTAGCCGGAAGCCAAGGGCTAATCCCACTTCCCAAAGCAGAGAAGAAAAAGGAAGAGGAAGCAGCAGAAAGGAGATCACTTCCCTCTGCAAGGCTCATCCATCCATCCACCTACCCACCCATATGTCCATCCATCCATCCATTCTTCATCCATTCGTCCATCATCCATCTACCCATCATCCATCCATCCACCCACCCACCCACCCATCCCTCCACCCATCTATGCATCCAAAACTCACCCACCCATCCATCTAACCATTCATTCAACAGTAAATATGTCCTGAGCAAACCAGTGCTGGAATAACATCTGAGAATTTAAAATCTCACAGACAAAGTAGTGCTGGATTTTGAAGGTCACCCTCGGGTCTCCATCTGCAATTGGTAAGGGAACATACATATTTTCTGTCTCTCACTAGTATATCCTCTTTCATACAGATATAGTTACTCCCTGTAATTCACGGAATAATAACAAATATAACCAAGATCATATGTTTCCTTGACATTACAGTTCCCAAGCACCTGCACAGACATTATTTCATAATTTCTCACAGAGGCCATGGGTGGCAAGCCAGAGGAGTATAATTATTTCCACTTCCCATGTGAGGACCCCAGGTTCATGCGGCCCATTTCTTCATACAGTAATGGTGCACTTTCTCTTAGCACGGACTACACCCAAAGACACACACACATCCATCCCACAGGCACTCCCACACCTGTGTGTCTCATGCACCTGTGAGTCAACCTGTATTGCCTCTTTCTTCCCCTGAGCCCTCAGACGCTCCGCAGCCTGTCAGGCCCCAAGCCCCGTCCCACACGAAGGCACAGCACGCAGTAGGGAAGAGAGCAGATGACACCGCAAGAGAAGAGGACTCAGGTGCAGGCAGAGGGGTTTCGGACATGCAGATGGTCCTGGGTGGAAGCCCAGATGCTGGGCAGGTGCAGCTGTCAAAGGACCTCAGTGGGGGCCTCCGTTTGACTGGGCTGCATGACCCCCTGCAGTGAAAGTTGGGTCCCTTTGCCATGAGGCCCTCAGTTCTCTATCTCTGCCCTGACCCCCAGGAAGCACATGGAGCAGAACACGTTACCCTGCTGCCGGGGCTGCCGCTGCACTGGCTTTCACTGAGTGGAGGCGGGGTAGGAGGCACCACGGAAATACTGCTGCTGAAGAAAAACACAGGGATAAGAAAGCAGTTGGGAACGTGCACGCATTAGCCTTACACACATACCAGATTCACCGTGACTGATGATGCACGTTCTCTACCTTTTTTCCCCTTAACTTCCTCAGTGGTTCGATGGGGCCCAGCAGCCTTGACGGCATGCTTCTTCGAGGGGCATCACCCTCTGTACGTGGACGTGGACAACGAACGCCAAGCTGTTCAACATCTGGATGCTTCCATCCACATGTTCTTTTTTAAAATAATCTATTTACTTATATTTTACATCACTGCTCATTTTTTTTACAATGTTTGCTTTCTTTTCTCAGGTGTAGTCCCCATAGAATTCCCACCACCAATTCACCTGTGCACCAGCTCCATGGTCCCTTGTGCTCTTCCTGCCCTCATTTTGATCCCTCTCCCTCCCCCTCCCCTGCAGAATGTCTCTGATTTATAGTTGTCTGTTTAGTTTTTTTTTGTTGTGTTTTTTATTGTTATTCTCCCCCACCCCGATCCATCCACATGTTCTTGAAGGAATGGTGGACAATGCCCAGCTGTGTGGCTGCTCGAGACATCGCGTGTGAGGCCCATAAGGACATGTGTGTTCTCCCAGTGGAAACCACATGAGCAGAAGTGCCAAAAAATGGTGGATGTAAGCAGCTACCACAATCCAGCAAGCCCTCTCCTAGACAGGCCTCAGGGTGCCAATGCAGAAGAGACAAGCCCTCCTGTGTTCACTGCAGCCCTGTTTACAATGGCCACATTATAGAAATAGCCTCAGTGTCCATGACAGAGGAGTCGGGAAAGAAGATGTGGTATACATAAGCAATGGAATATGGCTCAGCCATTAAAAAAAAGAAAGAGCAAGAGGGGCCTCCCCAGTGGCGCAGCGGTTGAGCGCTGGGTTGCGAAGCTGCCCGCAGCCTCTGCAGCGCCGGTTCGATCCCCGGCTGCTCCCCGGCCACCGGAGGAGGGTCCCACATGGCGCGCAGACCTCTCCTGCCGCCCGCTGCTCCCCTCAGCAGTGTACTTCGGTCCTTCTGCCTTCTCTGCTGCTCCCCGCTCTGGCTCTGGTGGATTCTCTCACCCTCCCGCGTTTCTGACTGTACCCAGTGCTTGTATAAATAAACAAAAATAAATCTTAAAAAAAAAAAGAAAGAGCAAGAGACGAAATTTTGCCAGTTGCAAAAACATGAATGGATCTGGAGGGTGTGATGCTAAGTGAAACAAGTCAGAAGGAGTAAAGCAAATTCCAGATGATTTCACTCATGTGTGGACTATAGAAGTTACCAGAGAGGGAGGGTGGAAGGTGGGGAGCAAAGGGGGAGGGGGCCCAGCAGACTGTGGTGGAGGATTATGGGTGCTTTTGGCGATGGGTGTGGTGTGATAACATACATTTGTAGAGATGTGAACCTACACCATGTCAATGTCACCTCTACAAACATTAAAAAAAAAAATCTACCATGCAAGAAATTAGAAGTTTGGCTAAAAGAAATGGGAAAAAATGGGGGAGTAAAAAATGAAAAAACTCTGAGATTGGAAAATCTCATCATGGGCCAAAAAATTGCTACCAGTGAGGAACTTTTAGTAATACTTTAATGAATTCAGTGAACTGCGGGTGGAATTACTGTCAGCCTCAAGAACACTGGGTGTCTAGAATTCTGTGTAAGGAAGTTAACATTGCTCAGAACGTTGTTCAGCAACACCTGAGTTTCTTCCACAAAAGTCTCTGAGGTGTGTCAGGCACGGGGCAAGATGTTGGCTATGGGAATGACCCACAACAGCAAATTCTTGGCCTAGAATTTCATTTCATGTGCCTTCGAAAATGCTACTTCATTTCCTTTCAAGATGTCAGGAGAGCTTAAGAAACAAGAGAAGACCTTTAGTGAGAAGATACCAGACCAGCTCCTATAAAAATCGGAAAGCACCTCTGAATTTCTTTTTATCACTAAAGGAAAAAAGGTTGCATTCCAAAGCACTGACTTCTGCAATTCTAGAGATCTAGAAGTTCTTTCCCAGCATCCTTGGGCTCCAGCCTGGAGGGCCTGGGACAGGTTGTCCTTTACAGCACTCACCTCAGTTTCTGATAAGATTGCAAGAGCTTTGCCCCAGCTGTCTCGTGTTTGCCTGGAAAAGATATCAGTAAAGGTCATTTATTAGTAAGACTGTAACTGCGATGATGCAAATAGAGGAAGCAGTAAATTAAAATCACTATTTTTTCTAACATCACTTCTTGTGGTTTAAATCAAATACAGCATGTCGGAGTGATCGAAAAGCTCTGATGCTAGACGGTGATAATGGAGGCATCCCTCCAGATTTACTAAAGATCATTCAATTGCACACTTAAAGTAGGTGAATTTTATGTTATATAAATTACATTCCACTAACACTGCTGCTAAACATTCACACAAAGTAAGAGATCATAATTACTGGAAAAGACTGCTTTTATTAAAAGTTGATGTGGGGATTAGATTTTCTGAAGCTGGGTCATTTGAAAAATAACTCAAGCAGCTTTTTGTTGTTTGGAAACATTTCATAATTAAAATGACTATTCCTTTAAGTGCTCCTTGTTATGGGGATTAAATTAATCTTTCAAAAAATGTAATCTTATTTCTAGTTATAGCGGCTAATAATTTCCTAAAGAAGACTGCAGCTGACATAATACTCCTTTTGTTTCAAGGAAAGGGGATTTGATGATGTCTTAAGACCCCAAAGTAACTCTCTACATGGCCATAGTTCTGTGAACACCATGTTTCATGGCCCCAGGCCTGGTAGGGGTGAGGGCATAGGCAGGGGTGGACACCTGACCACTGCCCGACACACACAGTCCACACCCCAGACCTGAGTTGGGGGCAGTGCCGCTTCTGTCCTGTGTGTTCGGAAGGTCCAGCCCACTTCTGTGTTGGTATCGCCTCCATAAGACATGATAATGGACAAGCAGAGTAGGAGAAATGAAAACAAGATGGAGGCCTTTGGGAGGGGGCAGAAAGCCTCTGGGATCAAACCTGAGGGGGGCCACCACTGGGCTGGGCTGGGCTGGGAGCGGGGGTGCCTGGCCTCAGGGAGCACCTGGGCCCTGAAATCCTACCTCAGATTTGGAGCTGCCCATGTGCATTTTCCTGGGGTTCTGAAGCTCAGATGTGGTCAGGGTTATGAAAGGAGCCTGCCAGCATCCCTGCCCCCACTAAGAATCATTTCTCTTTCTCTCTGGGCGGGACAAAATGGCCTGGAGGCAGAGAACTAAACTAGAAGAACCAGCTTTTAAAGGTGAAATCCATCCACGTTGCTGTGAATGGCATGCGTTTATCTTTTTTGACTGCTGTAGAAGGAATTATGCTCAGTGAAATAATCCAGAAGAAAAAGAAACATATTGGATGGTTTCATATACAGGGGAACCAAATAAGACATCAGTGTAAAAAATAATAACGGTACAAAACACAACAAAGCAAAATCAGACAATTATAAATCAGAGCCATCCTGCAGGGGAGGAGGCGGGAGAGGGGTGACAGGGAGGAAGGAGCCCAGGGGACTGAGGTGATGGTGCACGGGGAGCATTGGGGAAGGAAACTCTATGGCGGCTGCACCTGAGGGTGGGGGGAAGCAAATGTTGTTTAAAAATGAACAATGCTGCAAAAATAAATAAATAAATAAAGGTGAAATCCCTCATCTGCCAGGACCACTGGCGGGAACAGCAGGGCACCCAAACGCTGCCCCACGGTGAAAGCTGAGACTTATGGGAACAGAGGGAAACAGTGACACTTTGCTGGGCTGTGGTCCTGTGGGGCAGTCCGGATGGGCGAGCCCCTGGCCCCGGCCCCTGGGCTTCTGCAGCCGCAGTCATCTGGCCCCTGGACTGCTGAGCACAGCCACCCTGGGACAGCCCCCGCCCCCAGGGCCACGCTGTCACCCCAGCGCCTCCAGTCCTTCCGTGCCCCCCTCTGCTTTCACCTCAAGACCAAGGCCTGGCCTCCCTGGCCCTCGGGCTGGAGCCCCTCCCCGCCCCCTGGCCCAAAGGGCAGCCCTGCCTTTTCCCCTCCAGCAACACTCACCCCACTCGCCCCTCCCTCCGCCCTCCTCACGCTCAAGGCCCGGGATTTCCACCTGGGCCCATCTCTCCACCCTAAACTTCAGCTTCGCGCCCCCTGGCCCTCCCTCCAGGCCCGTCCGAGGCCCCGGGTTGGTGCGCGGCTCTCTGCTGCCCCCTGCTGGCCGGCGGCGCGCGGGCCTGTCCTCCGGGGGTCACGCCCTCGCCCGGGCCCGGGAGTAAACGGGTCACTCCTGGGCACACCCCGCCCTCGGCGTCCCCAGCGCGCAGCTCGGCCCTGGCACAGCCCCAGCCACGGGGGACAACACTAAAGCAGGAGAGCGTGCGTGCTCCGATAACGCTCGACGGACACTGAGGTTTGAGTCTTACTGTGTTAGGTCACAGATAAATATTCTTTTGACTTTTTAGACCATTTTAAAACTGTAAAGCCCATTCTAGCCTCATGGCTAGAGGGAGAAACAGGTGGAGGGACAAGTGTGGCCCGTGGGTGCTAGGAGGCCCCTCCTTGCCACCCAAGCGCTCTCGCACCAGCGGCCTGGGCTGAAGGGCTCCGGGCCTGAACTGTGACATCTGTGGCTTAGTCTCCTAAGACATGATCACTGACGTCCCCTCCTACTCCTGAGGTCCCGCAGCATTGGAATCCGCCCTGCAGCCCTGTGCGGTCCAGCTGTGGAGCCAACAGAGAGGGCAGTCAGGTAGAAGGGGGGCCTGGCCCATGGTCAGCTCTCTGCTGGTGCCCCTGGAGCAGAAGCAGCCAGGTAGGAAACACGCCCAGGACTTTTGGATGTGCCCAAAGCAAAACACAGGTCGGGTTGCCATGGGAACCATGCCGCTTGCCCTTCCTCAAGGTGCTCTGCGTCCAGCCTAGCTTAATTCTGTTCAAACAGCACGCTTTGCTGCATCTTTCAGAAAATCATCACAACAAATCTGGGATGTCTATAATGCAAGCAGCACCTGCTGAGACGCGGCACCCTGCATGTCACCATCCTGAGGGCTGGCCCTCGCGCAGTGCTCAACCTGCACAGCTGCGTGTCACCGTCCCAAGGTTTGGCCCACACAGGAACTTGAGTAGCCTCCAAATGCCAGAAGAAAAGTGAGTAAAATCAGGGGCAGCAGGGGTGTTGGATAATCACAGTATGTTTTAGGACTTTTTTTTTCTTGAACAAGAAAGCAAAAGTCTAGAACAATACAATTTTAAACCAATCTTTGAATCATATGTGCAAAACAGAAGGTGAAAAAATAATCATGATATCCAGTCACAGACGGTTTCAGAGCTGGGTTCCAGAGTCATCCTTAGTTATATTTTGGCCCTTCAGAGAAATTCTGAGCTTCCATAGCACTGGGGTTCAGACACTACCCCAGGATGGATAGGAAAAGATAAAGCATTCGACTATGAATCAGCAACAAATGCCTTCCAGGCGAGCACAACTTAATAACAGCAGCTCTATGAGCCTGTTGGCAGAAAGCATCTCTCATCCAGTGTCATCCTGCCACTAGCCATTACTCTTTTGTTTAGGCACAAGAGAGAAAATAATTTTCCCCTTTAATTAAGCTCCGTACATTCTATCAGCAGGAATTCTGGATGGCTTCCATGTTAATAACAGTCATCCAGGATGGGCAGTGACTCTTCTAGAAGGTATGCTTATGGCTGCTGGTGACTGGCCTAGGTTTATTGACTATGATATAAACTCCTTCTCAGCATGATTGCTTTTTTTTTTTTTTTTTTCAATTATCGGGGGCTTTCAGAGTCTTCCAACCAAAAGATTTGGGCTATTAAATCCTTACCAGTTATGTGATTTACAAATATTTTCTCCCATTCCATGGGTTGCCTTTTTACTCTATTGATAGTGATCTTTGATGTACAAAAGTCTTTCATTTTGATCAAGTTCAGTTTGTCTATTTTTTCTTCTGTTGCTTCTGCCTTTGGTATCATATCTAAAAAAATCATCATCAAAGCCGATGTCTTCTTTTCTTCTAAGAGTTTTAAAGATTTAGGTCTTTGATCCATACTGAGTTAATTTTTTATACGGCATTAGGTAAGGGTCCAAATTCATTCTCTTACATGTGTCCATCCAGATTTCCCAGCATCATTTATTGAAAAGACTCATTTTTCCAATGAATGATATTAACACACTTGTTGAAAATCATTTGACGACCTATGAAAATGTTTTCTGGGGTCTGTATTCTACTTCATCGGTCTGTTCGTCTGCTCTTATATCAGGGCCTGGATTCCTGTAGCTTTGTAGTAAGTTTTGAAAATGGGCAAAGGGCTTGAATAGACATTTCTCCAAAGAAGACATACAGACGGCCAGTAAGCATATGAAAAGATATTCAACATCATGAATCACTAGGAGAATGCATGTCAAAACACCACAATTATACAGCCACTATGGAAAACAGTGTGGAAATTCCTCAAAAAATTAAAAATGGAACTATTGTACTATATAATTCAGCAATCCCACTCCTGGTATATACCTGAATAAGAGGATATAACTATCTCAAAGAAATATGTGCACTTCCACGTTCATTACAGAATTATTTACAATTGACAAACCATGGAAACACCCTAAGTATCCACAAACAGATGAACAAAGAAAAGGTGATTATATACATATATACACATGCACACATATACACACACATATATGTATGTGTGTACGTACATATGTATAATCTGTTGTACATACGTATACGTGTGTGTGTGTGTGTGTGTATATATATATATATACACACAACAGATTATTATTCAACCATAAAGAATAATGAAATCCTGCCAGGTGTGACAGCATAAGTGGAACCTGAAGGCATCATGCTAAGTGAAATAAGCCAACAGAGAAAGACAAATACTACATATTTTCACTTATGTGCTGAATCAAAGAAACAGTGAACTCAGAAAATAGAATGTTGGTTGTCAGGCTGAGGAGCAGAAGAAATAGGAGATGGTCAAGAGTACAAACTTCTAGTTCTAAGATGCATATGTCTGGGCTCCAATGTATCATCACCAAGGTGACTGGAGGTAACAATGTGGCAATGTGTCCTTGAAAGTTGCTATGAGCATAGAGCAGCTATCCTCACCATAACA